TTGAAGTTGTGTATTAGAAAAAGAGAACGAGGTATAGGTATTTTGAAAGGTTCTAATATAAAACTGTAAAGAATGGGACAGGCAATCTCTATTACCGAATGCCCTAGACTTTTACAGTCTTACTTCTCTTTTGAATATTATATTGATTCAACGAATAATATAGATAAAAAGAATGTTATAAAAGTATTTAAGAAATAATAGAACTTAATCTCTTAAAAAGATTACTTTATATTTTCAGACAGATCTAAACAATATAATGAATACAGTCATTGTATAGGGTACAGCTTTGCAATCTATTATAATAAGTAATAGATCGATATTGACTACAATTGTATATACAAACAATCATATATTTTTGACACTGAAATGATCGGCGCATAGCAGGGACTAGAATACCTTCTGAGTATTATTAATTGCCTCTATCAGGGATGAATATAGTTATATATTGATAGCACCTCAGTAATCTAAAGAATATAAGAAAGCGCCGCTGCCTCCTTTCAATAGATATACCATAAGTACCATCAAACAATATAATACTATGATATTATAATCAAGTAGTCCCCTGGGTATACTGAGATTGAGGGCAATGAGGCAGCTGATTGTTTTGCTGATCAGGGTACGGTTGGACCGCTTAACCCTGGCCTATCCTGCTTCCCTACAGTTAGTAGCTTTTGTTTTATTCTATATGCTAAATGTTGATATTCTAAGAATAGATAGTAAAAGGAAAAAAGGGGTTTGATCTTCGAAATATATAATATATGAAAACCGATATATAATATTTTAAAGCCAAAAAGCCTCAAGCTTCCTTGCAGGGTACTATACAGATTTATAGTGATACGGACTAGATATAATAACTTTGTAGCCTATTATATCAGATTCAATTATAAAAATAATACAAATACCTATATATATAGGATTGAGAAAAGCCTATTATATTTCTTTTAATATTCAATCAATAATCAAATGCATAATAATTAATTGTTTATACCAAATCGACTTCGATTCGAATAGAATGTAATAATATATATTAATCACATTTTATAAATACAATATAGCTTTACTGATCTTTTCACTAGATCCAGATTCTATATTAAGATATACTTAAACTATATGAAACTATACAAATTCCAATCTGCTCTAATATCTCAAGAATAAACTCTCCATTTCAATCAATCTAAAATCTGTATCAAATAGTTATAAGTATTCCAAGCATTCTTCTAATCAACAATAATCGATCTGATTATCTACCAATACCCAGATAGTATACAAAACAAAACCCTTTAAAACAGAACCACAAACTCTTAAACAAAACAATCACAGGATTGCTATAAGTAATACTGAGCAAAGGAATACTAAAAGCAATAAGTCTTTGATTAGCTAATATTATATTACTATGAACGGCTGGAACGCTAGCAGCTTATAGGCCTGCTCCTTAGTATATCTAGAATACTCCTTGGGAGATCAGATAATAGACGTTAATCACTATAAATAAATAAATAAATATATTTTATACAAAAAGATAAATTATTAAAGATATAGATAACATTTTTCTTCAAAGAATAATAAAACTAGCAACTCCTATTATTAATGGATATTACACCTTGAGAAACTAAACTTTATAGTTTTCTTATTAGTCATTTCTCACTAACCGTTTCTCACCAGCTATTTCTCACTTGTCATTTTTTATTAGTCAGCTACTACATATTTATATTCTTTATTTCATATACCTAGAACTAATGAATAGATATTATTCGTACTTATATATTATTAATATCAAATAAGATAAAGATATTGAAAAATATAATATTAATATCTAATTGAATAAATATAAAGATTATATTAATAAAAATATACAATAAAAAAAACAGAATAAATAGAATTACTAAATCAAAAGTTATTAGAATTTAAAAGCCACTCTTTATTTAAAGTTTATTATAAAGGAGCGGATAATAAAGGCATTTCATTATTTTCCTTTTTGTATTATTCTTTAAGCTTTTTATAAATTTTATTTATAAACTTTATTTGAAATAGATCTATATACATAAATATTAGTAGTTCATCATAAGATTAGCAAATATCAGATACTGGATATTATAGGAAATCAATAAGCTTGAAAGTAATATTAGTTTTTAGGGATTTATATTTACTAGAATAGTTTTGTGCAATTATATAGTATACTTGGTGTTAAAAGAGTAATAGATTATTGACTTGAATATATAAAATACTAAAATGGTTTTTCGATTTATTAAAATCTTTTAAAGATTTATTAATATAAAATAAATTATCTACAACTTAAAAGAAATAATTTTTCGAGGTCTTTTTGATAGTGTATAGCTTGTAATAGATTGTTTATATTGCTTTATTTCTAATTATAAATCAATTAATAATAAAATATATCTCAAAAATATAAATTTCTTATCTTGTATATTCTAGAGCTATATTTATTCCACCTTTTAGCACTTTTATTTGAGAAAGATATAAAGTATATTGAATCAGCAAGATTATTCTCCTTATCCAAAGAAAATAATTGTTTATTATATTAAAGCTATAGAGTGATATGCAAATTTATTATTAGTTATATAAGTTTTGAATAGAAATTGAAAAATCGATTAGCTCTTTGTATAGTAATTTCAATATTAATGATATTTTCGATTATTAGTTTTACTTATTTATAAAAGCGTTTTCCATAAATAATTAAATGTATAAAGCTATATAGTATTATTCTTTTCATTAAATCTAATACCTCAATTAGATAGATTAAAAAGATACTAATATCTATATAATATCCCTTAATCTAAATCAAATTAATTAAATCAAAATAAATAATAAAAAAAAGAGAATATTCATATTAAATTGATTTTTTTTTTAATTAATTATTAATTAGATTCTTATTATTATTAATATATATTTTTATACTTTAAAGCAATAATTTATACAAATTAATTATAATAAATGTTTTTTATTTAGTAAATTATCTGATTATTGATTAGTTTTTTATAAATAACTTTATATTAAATTTAAAAGAAGCTTTTCATAGAATTTCCATTTGAACTAATTTATAGATTTCTTTGAAATATCTTTATCTCAGTTTCCGAATCTATTGATTTATCCTTCCTTTCAATAATATTAGTAAAGAGATTCTTTTTACTTTCTGAATCACTATAGATATTATATTTTGAGTTTTTTTTTTTTTTTTTTTTTTTTTTTTATATAATGATTAACATCTATTATCTGATCTCCAAGAGGTATTCTAGATATACTAAGGAGTGAGCCTACGGGCTACTAGTATTCTAGCTGCTTATAATAATATAATATTAGCTAATCAGGAGCTTATTGCCTTTAGTATTTCCCTACTCAATATTATTTATGATAATCCTGTAGCTATTCTGTTTAAAGATTTGTGATTTTGTTTCAAAAAGCCTTATTTTATATACTATCCAGGTGTTGACAGATAATTAGATTGATCGCTATCAATTGGGAGAACGCTTGGAATACTTATAGCTGTTTGGTATAGGTTTTAGATTGATTGGGATAAAGAGCTTATCCTCAGGGTATTAGAGTAGATTGGAATTCATATAGTTTTGTATAGTTTGAATATATCCTAATATAGAATCTGGATCTAGCGAAAAGGTTAGTAAAGCTATATTATATTTGCAGAATATAATTGATATATATTATTATATTCTATTCGAATCGAAGTCGATTTGGTGCAAACAGCTAATCACTGCACATCCGATTATTGATTGAACATTAAAAGAAATGCAGTAGGCTTTTCTCAATCCCATATATACAGATATTTATACTATTTTCGTAATTGAATCTGATATAATAGGCTACAAAGTCACCGTATCCGATCCGTATCGCTATAAGTCTGTATAGTACCCCGCGAGGGAGCTTGAGGCTTTCCGGCTCCGAGGTATCATATACCGGTTTCCATGCATTATATTTTGAGTTTTGATTAGTATTATAGTTATTATCGATATCCCTCTCGTCGTTATCATTCTTATTGCTATCTGTATCGATATTTATTAAGAGCCTCTTATCGATTTCGGAATCCTACTATATATTATAAATTAATATAATTAAAATAAGCTTTATTTGAATCAAATATCTGTATATAGCTTTTCTTTTTTGTAAAAAATATCTTCTTCTGATTGAAAATAATATTATTATTATAGAAAAAATTGAATAATAAATCTCTAATAGAAAAAGAGGAGGAGATATTATAATCTCGAAATTGACTTTAAGATTCGGTTACTTTTGCTATAAATTTAGACTTTCGTTTAAAATAACAAATTGAGAAAAAGAGATTTCGAATTTGAGATCTTCTATTTCTTTTTTGTATAGATATAAACCTTCGATTACCATCGTTATCAATAATTTTCGATTTTCTAAATGCTTTTGAAATATTTTAAATAATAATTATATCATTAGCTATTAAAATAATTTTATATATAGAAAAATAGCTTCAAAAATACTTCAAAAAAAGATTCTTTCTTTGAAAAGAAAAGAAAAAAGAAAAATAAAATCAAAATATATTTCTTTTCCAATTCTAAATATTTTTTCAAAATTATTATTTTATTAAAGCTTTTTATATAGTTCTCAATTTTAAATATAGGGTTTTAATATCGAATTGAAATTTAAATTGAATATTCTAAAAAAACCATGGATTATTTAGCGAATTTGATATTCAAACTATAAAACCATAGATTAATAATCCACTCTTTTTGAAGCAAATTAATATCACCGCAGAATCCGTGATAACACAAAGTACAGATTATTTCAGCAGATTCAGCACGGATTTTACATCCAAACTAGCCCTAAATTGCGCCTGGAGATCGCCAATCTTTTGTCTGCGAGTGGCGGTGATGTCTTTAATCTCGCTTATACTTCCATAAATACAGGAAATAAACACTCTCTCGGCGACAAGATCTGGTTCTGAGTGGACAGGACTGTCTTCTTGACCCCAAGAAAAGCGAATGATTTGACCACGAGTGATTTCAAGAGGGTTTTCCCCCCGCAAGCGCGTGGGCCGTCTCCTTTCTCTTTCCGACGTGTTGTTTCATTGCCTGTGTGACCAGCTCTGTCTCTTGGAGAACGAGAGTTGTAGGTCCCAGCAAGGTAGTGGCGTATCTGCAATGTAAGGCGTGATTTGCGTTGGTACATTCTATCATGCGACCGTCTCTGTGCCAGCGAGGGATAACGAATTCGTCTGACTTCTGCGTCATTCTCACCACAAACCATACAGCTTCAGGATTGACTTGACAGTCATCTTTGGAGTCCTGAATGGTAAGGGCAAGGAACTTAGCAAGTATTTTCTTGACAGACCATCGGAAAACACTGCTGTTGTCAGATATAAACTTTGTAGCTTCCTTTACAATGACATCTGGGGAAGTAACGCCGTAATAATGGTAATGCTCGCCTTCGCAGCGAATATCCTTGATCCTCGGTGTTTTGAGGAGGGGAATGAGTATTAGGAAATTGGCGGGGTGCGCGACTTGAGTTTCGTTCTATGTATATTTAGGATCAGCAAAGGTGAGATTTTAAGGTATCACACCAAACAATTCTTAAACTTTATCAAGAACTTACATCAGACTCTACGTCTTGCTTAGCACTTCCAATGGGCTCAAGTAAGAGTGCGCCGACGCCGACCGGAGGAGAAGATGAGTCTTGAAGCTCTTTCTATATCTTGAGATCAGCAAAAGTGATTTCTACCTTATCGGTGTTACGTCAATTGACCATTTTCCCTTTCCAAAGACTTACCTTGAGTTTGATGGTTCCAATCAAGCGCGTAAGAAAGTCGAGTTGAAGACAGTATGGCGCATGTTCTTGCTGTATGTATTTTAGGATCAGCAGTAATTATTACCATGCCAACAGTGCGCCGGGTAAATGGAGTACTCTTTGATAAACTTACCTCTGTTGGGAGAATTTCCTTCTTGTCTGTCACCTTTGCTTGGTGTATATCTTTATGTGGAGATATGGCACTGGCAAGATTGATCGCGGTGGGGTTCTCAGAAATAACTCCCATTGCAAGAGGAGTGGGTTGTGATGTGATAGGTGAGGAAGAGCAAATTGTAGCAGATTCGTTTTGATTGAAAAGTTGATTCTTCCTCAAAGGAAAGCAGGGAATGGCAAAGAAAGCCATTGCGATTGTTGTTGTTGAATTGGATTGGTCTTCTCTCAGTTATTTGTTGAGCAAAGTTCTTCAAATAACAAGAGAACCTCAGATTCAATAAAAACAAACGACTTGCTTAGTCGGGCATAACGACTAAGCAGATGAGAAATTTGATAGAGCATGTTCAAAGCTGTTTTCTACCACAGTATGGTATAATTTAGTTGTAGATAGTCGGGCATGTTGTTATGAGATGTGGTAGTCATAGATTATGGCTCGAGAGTGAAGACTTAAGAGTAGATGAGTATTTTAGTTCTGGGAATCAAGTCTTATATGTACAATTGGGAAGGAAGGCATGCTAAAGTGAGTTGTGTGGTTTTAATAGCACTTTATTTCCAAATCTTCTTCACTATTGATTACACTTTGACATTTCGGCATTTGATATTATCAATTCTAGATGAAGACACGCTTCACGCACCCGCCCGCTCTCAGCTCCCTTTACCTCTGACCTTCATTCAACTCTAACTGCTGGCTTACTTCAGATTCTCCAACTTTCTTCGAGGGGCGGAGACGTGTTGGGAGGTTTGGTTGAGAACGAAGAGGTAACCTTCAGATGTTCTCTCTTCTCGTTCTCCTCAGAGTTGACCAGTAGAAGGGGGGTAGTAATTTAGGAGCCAATGATATCAAAGAAATGATAATGAGGATAAGTAAAGTGAAACAGTATTTGATTATCTCTTAACCTAAATAAATGCCTCTGTATGGTTGATCATGCTTTCAAATATATTTCACCGAAAAACTTATACACCAAAGACATAGAGGCTGGTCCCTGGTGGTTGCTTTCTTTTACCAATAGAAAAACAGAAATGTGAACTTTAATTGATGTGGTGATAAAACTTCAGAGGTGATGAAGGTTAGTAAAAGTTATATGAAATTTGGCCATTATGAATAAGCGAGTCAATATCAAACGGCTTTCGTTGTCTTTCTTCTACCAAACTATTTATCGATGCACCTGATGACTGGTAAGATGGATATTCCAGGCTCAACACCATATTCGTAGTCATCTTTTTGTTCTCAGATTTCCTTTACCATAGCACCAATGTTGCTACCAATAGATGGTCTTTGTTAGAGAATTTTGAAGAAATAAGGAATTTCAAGAGCTGGAGTGTTTGTGAATGTTAGAACGCCAACATAAACATATTATGAGCAGAAGAATATTACAAGAAGAAACGCGGCAAAGGGGGATATAGAATGGCAGGACATCAAGCCAACTCATTTTCGAACTCAAAGATGTGATCGAAATGAGTGTAGAGTATCTAGCTTCATATCATTACTCAAGATATAAAAACTATAATCACGTCTGGGATAGCCTGTAGCACTGAATGTTTGCATGATGTAGAATAAGACTGACAGCAAATAGACTTATAAGAAGAATTGTAACTTTCCAGAATAGTGTATATTCCAGTCATTGTGTAAGTTGAGGCTTTCTCGCCACCGGAAATTTGAGATGGCTCTTTCATATACCGAATCAAACAAAGGGTAAATTGACAATTATAGCTGTCTCTATACTTTTGTCATCCCATCACTTCCATCATTTTCATGGACTTCATAAATAATAAACACCATATCGTTATCCTAAATGATCAAATGACAAAAAGCGCCAGAGCGGGAAAGAGTGGAAGAGGAGAAGAGCAGCAGAAAGTTGCAGTCGTAATCAACATGGAAGAGAGATTGCGTATAAAGATTGAAGAAGTATAGTAGAACCCGCTTGTTCAAATTGATTTCGTTATAGTAAGTATCTGTTGTGATTCTGCATTAGGGGGGTAGCTCATTCTATCCTTGCTTCTCTCCTTTCCTCCAAATGCAGAGAACCTTCTCTTCTTTATTCTTACTCTCATTCTTAACAGTTGCTACTGATTATTCATTTATGAAGGAAGAGACGACCAGCCCCGATTCATGAATGTCAGACGTACTTTTGTCTACTCGTGGCTCTGTCTTATCAATGAAAAATTAGAGAAACTCGAGCTGGAAATTGAAGCATGAAAGGTATTAAAATAAAGGAAAGTCAGACTTGATGTAGATCCTACTATGCTGTCAGATGACATTCCCAAACGGAAAAGATCGTGACTTTCTCAAGTCCCTGAATAGAACTTCATCTTTTGAGGCACCGACCAACTTTAGTCCAAGTCCTCGCAGCCTTTGGCTCTCACTAAACGATTGTTCGGCGTTAAATTGATCTAAGAGTCACATATGGTGTTTTTGGACCTTCAAATAAAGTATAATTGGGTACCTTGTACCGATCACGCAAACTTAGAGTTTAACCTTAACCGATTTCCCTACTACGTGCACGTCCCTGCTATATGCACGATCTCGATCACCCTTTTTGAATAACTTTAAAAATTAATAACAATTCCAATTTATAAGATAAAGAGCTAGCAATTTAATTGATAAATGATAAGATACAATACTATCTAAAAACATAATAAAATCTTCAGATTTTGAATTTCGATGGAACTCGTAGTGCTCGCCCTCTACTAGATCGCAATATGACCTCCTCCTCCTTCCCCTTCGAATTATTAGCCTCTACAGCATCAGAAAGCTCTATAGTCTTTGTCGATGTTAGATCTATAGTAGAAGAAGCTTTGGGGAACTTTTTATCTCTTTTGATTGGAGATTTTGTTGATTTTAGAGTCTTTTTAACCTCCTCTTTCGCATCACGTGCAATCTGACGATCAACCTCCCTCTGCAATACCCTCTCTTTCGTCTCAATCTCCTTCCGTTCCTTCTCAGCTTTCTTTTCAGCTTTTATCTGAAGCTTAGCTTCCTTCTCTTGCTCCTCTTTAAGTGCTTTATCTTCTTGATACGCTCTAGCTTTAATAATAGCAGAAGGTGACCATAAAAACGCACCATTCCCCTCCTCTCCAATGAGATTTAAACGCTTTGAACGAGCTCTTTTCCTTTTTTCAAGCTTTAGAGCCTCTTCTAAACCTTTAGATCTATGCCCCTGTATAGAAGCTTCAGCTCCTAATGTAGTTGCAGCCTTAAAAAGCTTTAAAGTGATCTCATGGGTGGGAGCGCGACGAAATTCTAATTTCATTCTACGCATCGCTTTTGACGTATACGGTGTAGCAAGAGCATCCCTGCGAGTTTTAAATGATGTAGGTGGCGTAAGAGGAGCTTCCGGAGCAATACAGTCGATCGTAAGACTCCTATTCATAGGATATATGCCCGTTTTTTCGAAGGATCGTAAGATATTATGCCTCGTACAAGTGAGCTCCCAAGCCTTTTTAAATATGCCCCAAAACATGCGCTTTGTCATACCAACAATCCCCCCGCTATTGTGCATCAAATCATTCAATAATGTACTGTAATTCGTCGAAAGGGCACCGAAGGTTCCAACGTCGAGAGGCTGTAGTCGATGTGTAGAATGAGGGGGGAGAATTAAGACAATAATCTTTAATTCATCGCATTTTGAAAGGAATTCCATATTGACATGACTAGAATGACCATCGACAATAAGTAGACGATATCTTCCACCTGCTTTTCGACGTGTAGCAGGGTCGAATACGTTTATAAGCCAATATAGGCCAAAAGCATTCGACGACCACCCATTGCTTGAGGCTCCAAAATAGGCTTTATCCTTCTCCCCTACATCCTGAACCCATGTATCTTGTAGATCCCCTGAGTCTCCTTTATAAATAAGAGCGGGAGGGAGAGCTGTCCCATCAGCGCATATAGCTGCCAATAGGGTGATAAACTCTCTTGATCCATCTTGCCTAGCTTTTGTCACTCTGCCTCTATTATAGGCGCTAGCACTCATTATCCTCTTCATAGTCCTCCCCATACCGATCATAAAGCCCTTCTCGTCCCAATTGTATATATCTCTCGGCCGTATATCGTATTTTATGGTCACTTTTATCAACTAAATTAAAAAAAGAGGGGCATTAGCAAGAGCGTTTTAGGTAATAAAGATCAACAACAATAGAAAATAGCTCAAACCAGATCATAAAAGTAATCAAATATAGCAACATTATCGGCTTTCACACGCAAATTATCAATGCAACGGAGATACCGACTTTTAAGACGTGTTGAATGCCTCTTGACAAAATTGCTAGTCCAGTTCTTTCCCACCTCTCTGCCTAGGATCTCTTCTGCAAGGTTTCTGACTATGCGGCTTGTAGGAGGGATAGATCTCTGTGTCAGCTTGTTGATTTGATCAACTAAAACCTCCTCCTGATCGCTAGAAAGCGCTTGTTTCGTATCGGAGAGGAACTGTTTTCTCGAGGTGGTTTTACCTCTATGCCGCCGGGAGAGCGTGGATCGATCAATTTTAAAGAAATTAGCTGTCTGGGTGTATTTAGGAGCTTGAACCCCTTTCAAATGATCTAATGCAAGCTCTATACGAGCCTCTAAAGGCATATCATCGATGTTTGAAGCCATAATGTTGATATTTTCAAAGTCGTGCACGTAGTAGGGACGTGCACATAGTGGGGAAATCGGTTATGTAAGCGAGTCGGAACGTGAGGCGAACCCGAGATCTTCTGTGCTCCCTTCACTTCATCACATGCGAACTGTGTTTATGAGTTCGGTCATCACTGCTTTTGTGAAGAACTTGTAACCTTAAATGGCTGGCTGACTTGTAGCTTAACTTTATCCTGACATTGCGCGTGTCTGAATATAAGGAACGATAATCGCGTAACATACGGCACAATTTGAGACGTCGATTTTTGGATAATACCTACATATGCGATGCAACATATAAAAGGATCTGGTTCCTTGAAATACGCGCTAGCCCCGCACCGGCAGATGGTACATGTTGTATCCTAGGACCTTACCACGGGCGAGTTGCCAAGCCCACGATTGGTCAATTCCAACGCCAACTTCCATCAGGGGATAAATCCCCGATGGCAGACCACTTATCTGGGCAGCCGTCACTACCTTACTTGTTATTCTATTGCAAGGTCTCTTCAAGTTGTGGGTTTACAGATAAAGTCTGTACGACACACACTGAGTGTTTGGTCAAGATGACTCGGCCCGATGATCTCCCAAAGGAGACTACAAACCATCCACGACCTATGTGGGGGATCATATGTGAATGCGTGCTACCTTGGACATCCATAGCATCGATCTTATAAAGGTGGTGAATTTCTCTCCAGTTTTGATCTTCATACTTCTCTCAACAAGCAAGGTTAATCTCCACAAGATGCGTCTCATACTTTTCTATATCGGGATGTGCCTGTCAGTCACCGTGGCACAAGTCTGTAATGGATATGCCGAGCTCTGTGATCGTAAATGGTCAGAAATATCCCAGATAGGAACACACGATAGCGCATTTGTGGGAGATTTACCAGCAGAAAACCAGAATCTCGATGTCACCGCTCAACTGAATGCTGGTGTTAGATTTCTTCAAGCCCAGACTCATTATTTTCTCGATATATTGACGTTATGTCATACTTCATGCTTTTTACTAGGTCAGTTCTAAATGCAACTTCTTATCCCAATCTTAGCCTTTTGTTTTCAACACCTTTAGATAGGATACTTTTGGAATTCAATCGCACTCTTGATCTTGTACCTTCTTTTTAAGCATTTTCTTGAGAAATAACTAATAAACATCATCTTCAATGCAGATGCTGGGCCAGCTGTTTATTATCTAGAGGATATCAAGAAATGGCTTGATGCGAATCCTAATGAAGTCGTAACTTTACTACTTACGAATGGAGATTATATTCCTGTCGGAAATTTCAGTTCAGCAATGGAAGTGTCTGGTCTGGCAAAATATGCATATACACCACCGCATCAGTTAGCCATAAATGAATGGCCTACGCTTCAGGAACTGATCACGAATGGAGATAGACTTGTTATGTTCCTCGGTGAGTAGTTATCCCTACCACTTTTCACAATTGAAAATTGATTTAACAATATTGAAGACTACGACGCGGATACGAGTGTAGCTCCATATATCCTACCCGAGTTCTCTTACTTTTTCGAAACTGCATATGATGTAACTACCCCTACATTTCCAACATGTACACTCGATCGTCCCCCAGGATCAAATGGAGATGGACTTTTGCCGTTGATAAACCATTACTTGGATATTGATGTCTTCGGTATCCTCATGCCAAATAGATTGGAGGCTAAAAAGACGGTAAGAACAACTTTTTGCAGGTTATAACAATGACCAATCATTGACTTGAATGTAGAACGCGGCAACAGGTGTAGGTAGTATTGGAGCCCAAGCCGACCTCTGTACCTCAACTTGGGGCCGAAAACCGCGAGTAATGCTCCTAGATTTCTTCGACGTTGGTAAGAGAGTCCCCATACATTCACAAAAAGTCACAATACTAAAACAAACCTAGGAAATGCAATAGAAGCACAAAACACATTGAATGGCTTGTAAGAAGGACTTTTAAATGCATCTCATGTTTATTAAAAGTAGTATAGGAACGAGAGCCAGAATCATGAGTCTCAGTCGTTGAAATACTGCCATGCTTCTTGATCATATGACTAAAACGTGCAAATATGTTGTTAACTCGCTCCATATAGGCCAGTAAAAAATTCCGCCAGTTCGAAACACACACTTCCTTCTAAATATACTCTACTTTTCCTTACTATCGGCACGATTTCATTTTTGTGTTAACGGTACTGTTATTTTTGCTTGAGTTTCGAAGATTTCATTGCTGGTCGAGGAACGAATGAAAGGCGTTTGGGTTTGGGCTAGAACGAGGAGGGTCATAGAAGGAGCGTTGGAGTTGAAGGTCACTTTATTCTCAAGTTGACATGGTATTATTTCTGTTTTGAATTTATCAGTCTAGAATTTTGGCAGCGCAGCGCAGATTAGATTTGGACTTCTGTTTTGTATACTTTACGACTATCATTGTTTAGATGTTGAAGGGCATAGAAGGTTAGAATAGGCGACAAGATTTGGATGCCGCGATTGATATCATTGTTTACACTTTAGTCAAATATAAATAGATACTGTTATTTTTGGATTGCGGTAGGGGAGGAATGCTGTTAGCGAGGAAGTTGAGTGAGGGAGGGGGAGGGACACGGTGAATATTATTCAAGGATGTGTCTTTGATGAAGATATACTGCATATAATTATGGCGTTTCTCGATATAAGGAATACAGAGTTTGTTTAATGATTTCAAAGGATGTATAAAACAAATCGTCGATATTGAAGTCTATCGGAAAGAACATAAATAGCTTCAAAAATGATAGAAAATCCTATCCATTTAATTTAAATATATAAAGGGGGGGTATTATTTTTCGATAGTATATGGGGTGTGAATCTGTGTAGAATGTTCATTTGATAGGGAGATGAGTAGAAAATAAGAGTGTTGAAATTGAGGGACTTTGTCTATAGATAATTCGTAAGAAGATTATGTAGGAGACAAGGATGTTATGTATGATATGTCCGAAGTTGTTTTAATTGTCTACTATAATACATTAATCCTAAATCGTAGTAACATCATCCATATCGTGAGGCGCAAAAATCCCAGTTAAGAGTAAATTGAAACTCCGAACGTAAAGTCTGAAGGAATGACAGATGAAAGTTCTGAGAGAGAAAGTGCAAAAAGTAAGTAAGACCTATAAGAAATCATAAACAAAAATGATCATGTAATAATGTCCATCTAATTATATATGTCAATTACCAGTACCTTGGATATGAAGAGAAAAGAAGCGCTAGTTGAAGAACGTATACTCATTGTTTTCGCGGCGAAGAGAAGAGGAGGGAATAGTATCTCTCTGATTATCTTTGATCATTTCTTTACACCTTAACAATCCTAAAGATTCTCATGAATGATAACAAAAAAGTAGTCAGTCAAATAATACATTTCTAATTTCTGATTTCACATACCTAGGTAAGATCTTACATAAATATCGATATACAAACCTACAGCAACACTTTCACAAACCAAAATAATCCATCCCATCAAATACACAGCGAAATATCTCAAATACAAAATTTCCACTCTATCAAACTTCAACTTGCTTATTCTACAATGGATAAAGATAGCCAGCTAGCTAACTCCCATCTCTCCGCAAAAATTTCTTCCTCTTCCCTCAATCCCCGGAATATCCTCGGGGTCGATAATCCATCCCAATACATATATACATATACACACTTCCATCACTCACTCACCCTACGAGTCTACCCTACCACGCCTACCTACCCATCTACCACTCACGCAAACCTCTATTTCTCATCCCCCACTCCCTATATCCTCATCACCAATTCCATCCCATTCCATTCCATTCCATTCCATCTACAGGAACCACCACACCCCGAGTCATGGCCACACTCCCGAGCCACCCCAATCAGAAAACCCGTGTGCTATGTTCTTCAAATCCTATCCACAACCCACGGTCCCAGCGTTCCCGTGCTACCAAACTACCTCACTACATCTTAGCTCCCACCTAACAAAATAAACTTAAAACCCCGCTCCCTCTAGCCCACGCACCAACAAATTAGTCCCCGCCGAGCCCGCTTGGCACATTCTCGATTGACTTTTGGTGAAAGGAATTTTCCACGTCAAACACTCAAGTGGTGAAGTGCCGATGCGAAGGGTAGCTACCCTAGGTACCCTTAAGGATCTACAGAGAGATTTTCAAGCTTGCGAGGGTTTTTGACGTGATACGAGTTGAGTTTATTTCACAGTTATGCATTGAATTGAATTGATTTCTTGTGATGGAATTTAATTCGATTCGATTGATATCATCATGTCTTAAGCTAAATATTACTGAAGTGATTGAACAGCAATAATGCGTTATTAATTAGAAAAGTATCTTGGTAATAGGTCCAGCAACCAAGCTTTTTTTCCCTCCTCTCTCCCCTCTCCACTACTAAGCAAAGTTGTGTAAAGAATTGAAAGACATTATTTATCTTGATATATCCATAATTCCTATCACCCATCTCAATGATCCCGTTCCAGTCTAATTACATGTAGAATTTGTCGCGTCATGATATCTCATGCGAGCCAGACTGCTCACAAAGCGAAAGCGGCCAAGAAACCAGCTCCAACAATAGCTCCGGCAGCATTGACTCTACTTCCGGCAGCTGTAGAAACTGTAGCGGGAGCTGAAGAAGCTGAAGAAGTGGCTGAAGAAATAGCAGAGGAAGCGGATGATAGAACTGAAGATACACTTGAAGAAGCCGCGCTAGTGGCGCTAGCAATAGAGCTACCTGCTGAGGAAATGTTGCTAATGACAGATGAAGAAGCTGAATCGGTTGAAGATGAAGATGATGCTTGGGTCGAAGATGCGGCGGCTGAAGAACCTGATGAACCAGCAGCTGCTTGGAGAGCACAGATTTCGGTTGTGATTTTTTGAGTGGCTATTAAATTTGTTAGGATATGCTACGATTATTTGAAAAATTTGAAGACTTACTCAAAGTGTCAGAGGCAGAGCATCCAGCTGCGATACATGGAGTGGCAGCTTTGGTGATAGCGTCTTTAGCATCACCGCATTGGCATGCAAAGTCGGTAATACTACATCTAGCACCACTGGAAGCTGTTGACAAGCAGGCAAGGGCACAAGATGGGAGTTGTGCCACTTCACTAGCGATACTTTGGGAGTAAGCCACTGAGGCAAGGAGGGCAGAAATGGCAGCGTATGTGAATTGCATGTTTGCGTTGATGATTGCTTTTGAAACAAGAAGTGTGTTGTTGAAGAAAACTGGTATGGAGATAAAGATTGAAGTTTTTTAATGTGCGATGTAACTTTGTTGTAGAATCAAAAGAGAAGGGGACCAGCTTTATCTTATAGGTTCAACGAGGGTATGTAATTACCTGCAGATGGTTACTTTTTAGTGTTGTACGGAGTCCGAGCGGAGTTCTGTGCACAAATGGCATCGATGAGCACTTACTCGGGAACCAATAATCTGAATGATTTTATTGATCTTCCTCGGGCTCAATACAGAAAAGAGGTCTATCACCGTTGATACGTCGGGTGGCGGAAAGCTATTCCCTGCAGCAAAATTTGCCGTGCCTAAGAGGTATTGAAGTAGTAAGAACTCGAGTAATCAGTTGTAAATTGTAAATTGTAACGTGCAAGCCAGCCTTGAAAAGGCATCTGGTAGCGTGATAGATCTTTTTAGACATACATCTAGGTCCACGCGTTGATAAGAGTTTGACTATCAAACGAACTAGGTAAATAGCAATGTATCTACTACCTACCTACCTGGTAATTGCAACTTTGCATCTCCTTGGGTAGACATACTTGATCTATTTTTTCTCCAGCCTTTTCCTTTACCAATTTCAATTACCTTAATATATCGACAATTGTGTAAATGTGTGCTTTAATCACCGGAAAATACTACCCCAATTATTACCCCGGACGGGCTGAAACCCCAGAAAAAGGAATTACGGTAAAAGGGAACCAGGTTCCCATACCAGAGATAGCATCATCAACCAGTAGATCATCCGAAAGAGATAAAATAATCCTTGACCAATAAAGCAAGCATGACCGTTTAACCCTTGATGTTTGTTTAACCCTTGCTTCCCGATAAAAAACATTATCCATATTGATCGTTGAATTGCGAGTCATCTTGACTTGCCCCAATCAGAACTTGGCTAAATGGTTTGTTCAACTGCAAAAAGAAGAATTCATCAGGGATTTCTCGCACGCACCTGGGTCTGACCAGGTATCAAATGCAAATACATTGCACATGAAATATTCTGCATGCCGAGGTGGATATACATACTTATCAGCCTTGCTTGAAAACGTTAGAATTTGGATAAATCGCTGCATTAGATTGGTGCGTTGTTGAATTGATGCATGAGGGGAAATGAAAGTAACCACGGGAAAAGAATATACTCGCAAAAGAAAGAGATTTCCTTGGAAGCAACCCTGGGCCAGAGAGATAATCGAGATGATTAATATATTGAAGTCAAAAAACAAATTCTGGTGAATTTCAAAAAGATTCCGAGGTGCAAATGAACATGTGGAGGTATCGACGTTTGAGAATCCCGATGGACAAAAACTCTAAGTGATAAGTGAGACATAGACAAATTGTCTTTTTGACGTTTGATTGCGGGGTAATTGAAGCCATATCCATCCACCAAGACCTCCACTAAAGCTTCGTGTCTTCACAGTGATGCACGGAGTAGAAGAGAGAGAGAAAGACCTTACTTTATTCTGACAACATGCGCACTGAGGGAATAGCTTCTTGTCAAGGATCATTGTCGGAGTAAATTCCAATCTCAGCAATGTGGATACTGGAAGGATTTGTACAGAGTATACGAACTATCTCATGCGTGACTTATTTGACTCCAATGATGGAAGGGGCATCCGAAGATTGCACACTACAAACCGAGATACTTCTTCGCCCAGAGATCCATCGTTCCCGGGAACATTTTCTCGATCTGAAAGATCGTGTTCCCACACCAATTCCCCAGAAAATCATCTTAACCTTAAGCACGACAATTAATGGGTACGTCAAGGAACAGGTCGCATCCTTCCATCAATGTTTAAGTACAGACTTTTTCGTGTAAGATTTGAAAAGTATGTATCTACCTTGAGCGGTCCTTAATCTCGCCTCACTCATCTCGACTACTCCACTCAGCCTGGCAAAGTTTTCTGCTGTCAACTCCTCTCCTCTTACTCCGGCATGGAAATCGGATCCCTTAAATAACTTCCAGACAATTTGTAACCATATTGCGTCGACACGCACGTCAGGAATTGTTGCCCATGGAGACCAAATGACTGCAGGTCTATTGAATGCATCGTGGGCAATTGATACGAGAAATTGAAGTGACTTGTTGCAATCCAGCCAATGCGGTATGTGTGAAAATAGAAGGGAGAAGGCAATGATGGAGAAAGTACGGTCAACAAGGCGACACGAGCGAAGTGACGATGTGGGAAGGTAACTGAGTATATGCTTGAGCAGTTCCGGTGCCATGCTATCCATCTTCAATGGTAGGGGTAGAACAGATAGTCGGAGGAATCTGGGTAGAAATTGCGAAGAGCCATTGTATTTGAATATAGACATTGAATACAGACACCTTGATGGGAAGCAAATGAGGCCAATACTAATAAAGCAATCCACTTAAGCTCAGTGTACTGAAGATCCAATCATTTTCCTTCGCATCGAAGAGTTGTTTTCCAAGTACCCATCAAGGTTTGTAGAATCAAGGTTAGGATTGAGGTCGCAGTAAACCTTCAGCTTCCTGTTGTTCCTCTTCCCACCAGTCCTTGAACGTTGTCAGTCTTTTGGTTCTTTCTATCGCCATTCGTTTGCCTGGAGCTGTCTTCATCATTCCTCCTAGTTTCTCCAGTTTGTCTTCGAAATGCTGAATGGTCTCTCCCATATCCCTTGCACCTTTTGCTCCGCCGAATGTGAATGTTCTTCCAATTCCAATCGCGCCTGCAGTAAAACAAAAATTTAGCTTCATCTTCTTGTCGTTCAATTTCAAGGATGCAGCCTTACCAATAGCATCGAGCCGGTCAGCATCTTGGACTATAGCCAGCTCTGGGTATTTCTCGATCATGCCCCTCACTGATGCCATATCCTTGATTTCACTCGAATACGAAACTCCGAGAACGATTCTCTGCACTTTGACGGCCAGCTTTTCTTCGGCCCCAAAACTCAATAGTGTTGATAGCACCAAAGTATTTGGATCCTGCCCAGGTAAGAGATACTTCTTGTCGCCTACATCATGCAAAAGTGCCGCCAAAGTGACAACCTGTAGATCTAATTCTGGGCCACCTATCCTCTCTGCCTTAAGCTCCTTGTATATCCTATGCGCCAGCCCAACAACGCGTCGAATATGGTTGAAGTCGTGAGATCCATCATATGCGCTCATGTATTTCTCGACAAAAGCTGTAACTTGCACAATCAGACCAGCATTTTGTGCCATCTTCGGTTTGGTATTGTTTGGTTTCGGTGTAATTGTGGAAGGCAGGTGAGACGATGGAGTATTGATAACTGCGGGGCCTTCTGAGTATTCGCGAAATTCAGAATAACGAGACCTTCGTCGCATACCGAGCTTTTGTCGTAAGCGGCCCAAATTCGATCTTTTTATTTCGAACCCTTCGGAAATCAAAGCTTGAGTAATTTGGTCATCATTGAGATTTGAATTATAATGATAAGTTAATCGATCCTGGAGAGCTTGAGGGATGGGTCCGCGATTTCTTTTGCGAACATTCCATGCTGCCAAACTTCGAGACACTTTACGCTCAGAGACATCTAGACCTAATTCTCGATTGAGCTTTCTTGTGATATCGATGATAGGGGTATTTTCTTCGGCGAAGAGTTTGACTATAAGATCTTTATATGGTTCCAAACTCACGCCAGGAGGACGACCAGGTTTTCGAGATGTGGAATTGATTTCTGGGGTACCATTGTGTTGTTCTAGAAGTTCTTCAGGACTTAGAGTTGGAGGCATAATGAGAAGGGTTGAATGAATTTTGACGACAAGGTCTTATGAAAATCAAACCTATTTTGGCGGGTGGTGTGATGATTCTCTTTCGGTCACCGTATTATATCTCTCACAGAATAATCGAAACGTCTTCTACAATGCAATGCACACTCTCGAGATGTCTACATAGAGTACCAGCAAGATGAATATTGACATCGTTGCTCCTTCATATAAATACTGCACATTTCCAACAATTTATCCCCAAGTTTTTAAGGCACATATTGGCATCAAAACAGAGGGTTCCTTGATATGTTCCAAATGTCAATGATTTGCTATCTGCTATCTGCTATTACAGATTACTCAAACTACTAACCTTATTGTTAACTATGACCAGCTTTTGCTGAATGCGATGTCAAACTCAAACTTGCCTCGGGATGAAGGGAGCTACTAGGTACCCCTTCCCCGCCCCCGCTCTATCAACAGACCGGTAAATAGGAAGCTTGAGGTGTGAAACCTCGTGAACTTGAGATCTTCCTTCATTCACAGAAAGGGCTCAAGATCATAATTACTATTTGAAAATGTCAGATATGCAATCCAAAGTTAACAGTCGACTCACTCAAGTCACCGATTTCTTAACCGGCAACAAGACTGCCACGACTATTCCATTCGACCCTACTTCCACCAAGTTTCCCAATAGAAAGGATGTTCCACGAAGAGAGGATGCACCCGAAGGAGCGTAAGTAGTATGTGCGGTTTCTAAAAGCTCAACTAACGTTCAAAAGTGCGTGGGTTTGGGGGCCTGATGATTATGTACGTAATTCTGACATTATAACTTTCAATATCGTTAAACGATTACATAGATTGGAAGATTAAATCTTCTCACCCCAGCTCGAGTCACTGCCGCATCCAATGAAATCCAAAGCGGGGAGATTGTTCCATTGAACCTCCCTTTGAACGTACCAGAAGTACCAGCTTTTCATCGAGAACCGTTTGAGCATAGCATTAAAGAGCTAGCTCCGGGATTGGCTTATGATGATGTATATTCATTAAACACACAATCAGGTACACAATGGGATGGTTTCAGACATATTGCACACATGCCCACAGGCAACTTTTATAATGGGACTAAAGAGAAAGATATAATTGGAGCTGAAAAGGATGATAACAAATGTGGAATTCATCATTGGGCTGAGCATGGCATAGCCGGTCGCGGTATCTTGATTGACTACTGGACGTATGCAAAGGAGAACGGAATTGTCTATGGTAAATCACCATCAAATCTATATCATTTCATTGTCTGACACAGATATATAGATCCATTTGACTATCACACTATATCCTACGCTGAATTGCAAGCTGCCGGAAAAGCCCAAGGTATCGATATCCGCCCCGCTTCCCAAGGCGGAAATATTCAAATCGGAGATCTGCTTTTCATTCGTTCGGGCTTCGTATCTACATACCACAGCAAATCACCAGAAGCACGAAAAGCCGCTGCTCTCAGACCACACGGAATCGGACCTGATGATGGTCAGAGGTGGGCCGGTCTCAAGCAAGATGAGGATATGCTCGATTGGTTACATGACTGCTACTTTTCGGCTGTAGCAGGTGATGCGCCTGCTTTTGAGGCTTGGCCATCGCAAGAGCATTACATGTTACATGAATATATACTCGCCATGTGGGGTATGCCTCTAGGAGAAATGTTTGACTTGGAGAAATTGGCAAAGATGTGTAGAGAGAAAGGAAGGTGGAGCTTCTTTGTCACTAGTGCTCCGAATCATTGTCAAGGAGGTGTATCCAGTCATGGAAACGCAATTGCTATATTTTGAGATTTGGCGCAAGTGTAACTTGTCTGTATATCTTCGTCATTCCTTTTTGGGGGGTGTTTCATCACATTGCCATATGTGGTCAATATATAGTTTTCTTCTTTCAGTAAATATATACATTGTATCCTTTATCTCCTGCCCCTGAATCAAACCAGAATCATCAAATCCAATAGCTATCTCATCTCATCTTGTGTTCCTAATGATATTCGACAACCCGAACTGTAAGATTGACAAGAAAGATCAATCAACAGAATGTTGTCCGCACACCAAGTATATATATCCCCAAAATACAATTCATCTCCCAAATCCATCGAATGCATGTTCAAATTTGGCGAAATTCTTCCAAATCTCGTTGGAAATAGAGTACTGGGTTCTACTATGTTTGGAAACTGATGTCCGGAAAGTCTGCGCTATAAAAAAATTGATAATGCGACATATCCTCGAATCTTTTATGATATCCTCCTCTTTCCTCTGCTTCTCCTTCTTTTCCTTCTTCTTCTCCTTATATACCTCTCATCATACGCCTACCCCTACGCCTAATGCCCCAATGAAAAGACTTACACGACATTAAAAATGTTCAGAAACGAGAAATTACTAAAAGTACTCATGATTTGATATTGTAGTAGGGGAAAAAATAAAACAGTGATTAATGTATGAGAAAAGAGCAGTGCTTAAGTTAATAAGTTGTGAAAGGCCATCGTGATGTTTGCTCGTATGATCACTACTTTTTGCAGGATGTGAATACACATAGATTATTCATACGTAGACAAACTACCCGAGTGGATTCAAGTTAACACTTACCTTTGGGTAAAATCTAAACACCAACAAAGCTATAATCAGGGCACCACTGCAAAAAACTATCTTCGTATACGATCCATTCTATTCTATCTCTCCATCCATTCAAACTAACACCATCCCAGTATCTCATCCCCAATCTTCCAAAGCAAAAAAATAGCTTTTAATCTTCATTCGACTCCGTCTCATCCTCACTCCTCTCCTTCATTTCCTTATTCCAAGTATTTCCCTTCCCCCTCCCTCCCTTCTTCCCCTTAACACCTTTTCCTCTCAATCCAACCGGAACCTCCTTCTTCACCACTCCATCCTCGAACAATACCCCAATATCTGCTCGTCTCGCAATAACCTTTTTCCACACATTTTTACTAATAACACCTCCATCATCCCCCTCGCTTAGTATTCCCCCGTTTCCGTTTTTGTACCATTTAATCTCGGGGTGAAATTCAAGAGTTGATTTGAGAGAAATGTAGATGGATACATCTGCATCGTCTTTACTAGTGGATGAAGAGGTTCGAGCCTCGGTACCATCAGAGGAGACAAAGATACTAGAGAATGCTAGATGAGCTTGCCCGCCTGCTTTTTTGATACCTCCGGAAGCGAGAATGAGTGGGTAGTTTGCGTACGAGGTTTCGTAAACGACGAGATCAGGTAGATCTACGGTGGAAGCGGTGAGAAGTTGGAGGGAGATAGAGGAGAGATTTGTTGAGGTGGTGGTTGTGGGAGTAGAAGAAGTGTTGAGACGAATGAGGTAGTTGGATGGAGACTCTGACTCGATTTCGGATGAGGAAATCGATTTTATGGTGAACCGGGATTTTGCAGAAGGAGACTGAATGATGCTTTGAAGTTCTAAGAGATTGAGATCAAGTGAATTGAGGTCATCGAGCTATGAAGCTGTTAGGTGATTTGATGCTTGGAAAATGACGTGTTTGTTGGACGAGCAGATTCAAATGTCGTGAAAGGTCTAAATTTCAGGTCATTTGTACTTACGACTTTTGTACAATTGAGCCAGCCCTCAGAATTAGCGGCAAGTTTCTCTGAGTCATCTCCCTGTTCCTGGTCTTGTTCTACTGAACGTTTGAGAACCTTGGCAAGGGCTCGAGTGACAGTAGAGTCACGTTCCGCAATAATGCTGTAGCCTCTCTGACGAGTCTTCTTATTATTGGAGATACTTCCTCCATGTTTACCTCTACCGTGTCTAGATTGATTGTTGGAGATGGGAGAGGGAGCCATGATCTCTCTATCAAGAGTCATGGCTGAAAGTGGTTGCATGACAGCAGCTGCCATTGTGCTGTTTTCAATAAAAAATTGGAAAAAGAGTTGGTATATGTAAGAGTTGTACACATTAAAAAGAACCAAAGCTGAGAGAATGGTGATACAGCTTTTTCAGACAAGGAAATACCGTGAGATATAAGAGATGAAGACTTGCGGTAACACAGCTTACATGCCATCAACAAGGAAGTATCATTATGATCATGTCGTATTGATTCGCCAAGCACACAACGTTTCAGTCGCGGGACATCGGGTCATGGCATCTATCCCCTACATCACTTGTAACGAGTGATTTACGTTATATGGCGGGGGCGGGACTTGCAATAATCCAAAAACTGATTGAAAGGGCAACCGCGGGGTGGTATCTAGCGGTGTGGACCCAATATATGTAACCTCAAAGTGGTTAACCACTCTAAAAGAGACACCCACTCCGTAATAGAATGCACACAATACCTCATGCGATCATCTGGGTCCAATCGTTCATAAGGCTAGAAGCGGTGTGTATCACCGGCATGCACGTGATCTAATGGCTGCAGCGCAACTCGAGATTCTTTTGTGATAGCGGAACGTATTGCCTTTGAGAAAGTCGATTCCAGATGTGATACTCTCTAGGAAGGATGGAAAACCCGGGATATCGAATCACTCAAATAATCATACACTGAAAACACTTATATTCCAAATACTTTATCATGATATACGTATTCATTCAAAATACAAAGATCTTAAATGTTTGTTGGCTTTGAAGCCCATGAGTTTGTTTATTCAAATTTCAATCCGAAATAATGATTACCTGGGTTGATTTTGAATGTTGAAAAGAGCTTGTATGTTCGGTGTCCCGCTAGAGATACTATACGAGGCATGCATTTCAGTCACTCCGTGGCACTAGCTCGGCGGAGAAAGAAGTAGCATGTTCTGTTATCTGACTCAATACTAGTTATGCCACTTTTGAATGTGAAATCAGAGCGTCTCATTCAGAGACTCCATGGTTGGGAACACTAGCTGATTAAACCAGAATAATGAAGCATAGAGCGAAATGACCAAAAGCAAGTCAAAATGTGAATGGTGCTCTCAGTAGGGCGTTATCTGTATTGATGAATTACAACAGGTGTCCGATATAACTCCGTAGTTTTGTTCACCAGTTCTCTGTTGCGGTGTGAAGTACAGTAGAAAAATAGACTTACTAGCATGAACCTATTAATAATTGGAGTAGAGTAGATCCTGTTTCATGCCCAAGCTATTCATAGACTGGTAGCTTAACGCCTCGCGCTTTCCGACCTATCCCATTACTTTCAAAGAACTCCCTTTTTTGTAAGTACTCATACAGGTGCACACAAAACGATCATACTTATGACCAAAGCTCGCCATATGAATTTCGAAAGCTGTTGAAATGATTCGTAGTGGGCGCACATCCACTCTCATCTCTCGCGGCCTCCGCTTTGGACATCCATTCTTGCATTTGTGTTATTCGATTGCTATTCTGGTTTGGGTCAGTCCTACTATTCTTAACCAAGTATCAAAGCACCTACCGATGGATGAGTTGAAAACCACTCAGGCGGAGCATTCTTCTCTGCGGCCTGCATCCTCTCCCACACGCCTACTGCTGCGTGAGGATCATAACAGCTCTTTGCCATGATCATCAGTCCAATATGATCAGCTTCAGTTTCCTGGTTTCTTGATGCCGGTAAATTCATGCCAAATTCAAGTGCGAGAGCCCCCAATATTTCACCTAGACCTCCAGTATATCCTGTAGCGTCCAAGAATCGAAACAATATACGCAAGGGCATATAAAATACCGCGGTTTTACTCATTGTTTCTCCCAAATGATTTGCGATATTATGCGCAATTTCATGACCAAGAATCTGCGAGATTGGTAAGTTAGTGAATGCCGATAAAAGAAAGATCAGGAGGAAAATATACTGTAGCAAGGCCGTCATCTGTTTTAGCAATCGGCAATAATCCTGTAAAGACAAATACTTTGCCTCCAGGTATAACAAAGGCATTCATTTCTGTGGAAATTAGGGTAAGCTAATCGATATCTAAAATAAGTATTCAGTTTCTTATTCACCTTGCGACTCTATCACATTTACTTCCCAGTTTACGTTGTCGATGCCACTCGCAGGTATTAGTCGACTCATAACTCTCTGTACCATCTGGGTCCTCTTATCCCAGTCGGGAAGAAAATGGTTATGGTACTGCCGCAATATCTGTTCATACGCCATCTGCCCTTCTGCTTCCATGTCCTGATGACTGTATATATTGAACCGCCTCCTTCCTGAAACCGGCACATCCTCGATATTGCTGGCATAAACCAATATACCACCACCCGCTATTAGGGCTATGAATGAGTGTAAAGCAGGATGTTTGGTGAAGTTTCTGATATGTTGCTCGGTCAAGAGAGGGCGTGCATTTCGAGCTTCATTAGGATCAAATCTGTAGTATCTCTGCCTGCGGTTTTGGTAGCTTCGTGAATGGGATGGATTGATAGATAGATGTGACCATCTTGGTAACTTATATTGGGTGACAGACAACGGCTGCAGGAGAGGGGTAGTATTAGGAGGATGTGCGATCGCGTTGTGAAGCGATAAACCTCGCAAGATAGATCTGGATATCATCTCTCGTCTGTTATTCTAATAGAAAACAACAACAATAACGGTATGTGGCAGCGAAGTTGAAGAAAATTTGCGTTTGAATTGGCGATGCAAATGTATTCCTTGAGCATTACTCGAATTTTAGGTACCTAGTAGTCACCCCAAGCGTCATTTCAGCTGATAAGGAAAATGATAGCAATCAACTCAGATGTGATGTAACAAACATATGCATAGAGAGAGAGGAGAGGTCAATCAATTATTTCTCAAGTATGAGATATATCGTACAGACTCCAGACTTAACGTTGTTTGAGGTATTTGCCATTCCGTACCTAGGTAGGTATTTTATTGACCAGAATTCCTTTAGAAAGTGTCGAAATTTTTAGAGAACGATGAACGATTGTCTACTTCGTACTAGGTACGATATGTAAGGGGCGAGGGGGCCGAGGGGGCCAAAGAAGCTTACCTAAAGAGCAGAGCTACCCCACTACCATGCCATGGGACAACACCCTTTACCACTGACGTATCCCCCCGTATCCCCCGTATCCCCCTCAGATCTCGAACCACTTTCCTTGGCGGATTGTCCCTTTGAATAACGGTGAATGAATTTCCTTTTCAGGTTCTGTTGCTATCCATTTCAATATCGTAAGTCTTTGCTTTGGCACAAATAACAAAAGCCTGGAATTTATATTCTTCTCTTCTCAACCGTTTTGATCAAAGGTTCCCGGTACACTTTACCAAGAGCTACTTGAGATTCTACTTGAACTCAATCTACATTCAAAATGATGGAAATTAGTGCAACAGCGGCAAAGATCACTCACGGTCTCTTCCAGAATACACATCCTCTCAAAGCAAAATGGAATCGCATTAATGGAGTTCAACTCCCAAGATCATCTCATAGTGTCTCGGTCGTCGCAGGTCGAGCATATATATTCGGAGGTGAAATCGATCCACGCGAACCAGTCGACAATGATATGCATGTCATCATTCTCCCTTCTGGCACAGTCACCAGCGCCGACTATCGAACTATTGCTGCCAAGCCTACACATAATGGTGGTGACGTTCCAGAAAAGAGAGTAGGACATACAGCGGGAGTCATCGGAGAACGAATCTTTATCTTTGGTGGAAGAGGTGGCCCAGAGATGAAACCTCTTGAAGAAAATGGCAGAGTTTGGGTCTACGATACTAGGACAGATAAGTGGTCTTTCTTGGATCCAGCTCCTGGCACGCCATTTCCAGCTGCGCGATCTTACCATTCAAGTGTTGCTATCGAAAAACCTGAGCCATCAAATATGAAGAGTGCAGACTTCGATCAGGCTATTGATGAAACTAAAATTGGCACAATTGCAGAAGGTGCTCAGACAGATGAAGAGCAGGGTGGTCATGGAACATTCTTCATCCACGCAGGATGCCCGGTCTCTGGACGAACAAATGATCTCTGGGCATTTGATGTTCGAAGCCGTACGTGGAAAGAATTTCCTTCTGCTCCAGGAAAGCCCAGAGGTGGTACATCACTCGCAGTTTCAAAACAGAGGATCTACCGATATGGCGGTTTCAATGGTGAGGGTGAGGAAGGTGGCTATCTTGACATTTTAGAATTGGCTCTTCAAACTTTCAACGACAAATCTGGTTCAGGAGAATTGGGAATCACTCCGAAAGGAGATTGGGAAACTTTGAACTTTGAAGAGGAGAGTATGAAACATCCCGGTCATAGAAGTGTGGCCGGCATGCATACCATCAATACTGGTAAGTTTCTACTTTATGTAATCAGTTTCTGGCTACATTGGGACGCAGCCTGTTTATACTATCCATAGAATGAAAGCTAACAATTTGTAGGTATGGGCAGAGAATATTTGATTCTCTTACTTGGTGAGAAAGATCCAAGTAGCGAAGGTCATGCTGGGGCTGGCAGGTTCTGGAGTGATGTTTGGGCTTTTCAATGTCCTCCCCAAGGCATGACTGCGGCAAGTTTTAAGGATGCTACCTGGCAAGCACTAGGTCGACAAACTGGTGAAGGTCTTTGGAGTCAAATAGTCGTTTCGGACTCTGAGGGTGTCGAAGGTGATGACGTCAGAAAGCTTGTTCCTGGCGAGCGTGGATGGTTTGCAAGTTCGTCAATGAGCGATGTTGACTTCAGAGGTATTCTCTTGTGGGGTGGTCTGAATGGAAAGAATGAACGTGAAGACAATGGATGGATCTTAACAATTGAATGAAAGCATAGCGACGAGAGAAATTAGGGCGTTTGGAAACGGAGACAGCTTTACTTAAAATACCATGAATAATGAATATGAATGAAATGAAATGACATATCTTAACGAGACGAATTTAATTATTATTCGAGGTAGCTCACGTCAAATGTTGTGATAAACATCGTGGGATATTCGAACGCTGATATTTCGATAACACATCGACATGCCTTGAAGTGATAGGTAATTGATCAGAAATAAACTCGTCAATGGCGAAGAATACTTTATCCATAGACTTCAACAAGACATTTCATTTTTAAACGATTGAATTGTCATTGGATTTTTAATCGTGATATATCATTTGAACAATCTCATGTGGGCCATCCCATCTTCCCCTTCACGGAGCTCGCCTCGCCTAGCTAGAAATGATAACGACCCCTCGTCGACCCCTCTTCTACTAAACCACAGCTACAAGCATATATAACATCAACACCTCTCAGCCACCTACAACGCATTCTAGAACTTACCCAAGTCTACAACAGCGTTGCAGGTACCCAACCATGCTATCCCAATTCCCTCCCCACTAACCACCCCCAGACCCAAAATGTCCCACGAAGCAGCCCTCACATCTTCCGCCGCGCAAGCCATTGCTCCCGATCTCTTCCCCCCACGCACCCCTCTCAGCACCTCCCAAATCGAAGCCAGCATAACCGCCTGTCTCACCGTACAGCGACGGGCGGTCACCCAAGGAAAACGACCCTTTGCCGCCGTGCTCCTGGGCCCCGACAACGAAACTGTACTCCTCACACACCAAAGCATCGATCAAGTAAATCACGCCGAGAGCTCGCTGGCCAAACTCGCGTACTCGCATTATACGAAAGAGTATTTGTGGAGATGTACGTTGGTTAGTACGTGGGAACCTTGTGCTATGTGTTCGGGTATGTTATGTTTATGTTTCCACGTTTTGACATGCGAGTCTCGCTGTTTGAGAGGGAGATTGTAGTAACCGTACTTGCATGATGATTTAGCGACGATTTATTGGGCGCATATTGGAAGAATCGTATATGCGGCGACGAATGAACAATTGGCGGGTCTGACGGGCCCCGGCAATCGAGAGAATTTTACGTTGAAATGGCACACGAGAGATATTTTGGAGGGGCAGCAGAAGGATATTGAGATTATTGGGCCGGTGGAGAAGATGGATTTGGTGGTTGTGGAGGAGAGTGATAAATATTGGTGTACTACTAGAGCTCGTGCATAAGTAAAATTGGATTACGGTTTTATGAGCTGTGGAACAACAATTGTTATGTATCAATTCTCGGTTTTCTATCACTCTCTCACCTTTTATTACACATGACTCCGATATTAGGCTGTGTGATACGGACAAATCGGTACTCAAATATTATTCCACGCCCTTCTCTCAACGACGTATTTAGAGATCAGGAAGATAAGCCTCATCTCCAATAAACCGTTCGTCTTGAGAGACGAAGAGCCATGTTGAATATATTTACAAGAGTAAGTCAACATCTAATGAACGGGCGTGCGTGTATGCTCTGCAATCACTTCACCTCAACCCATCTCAATCCCACCTTTTCTGGACTTCTCATTTGCAATAACAAAACCACAACATTATCTTTCACTACGTCCATAACTCTCCGCTTTGCTTGCTCTTGCGTCTCTCCTTCTTCCAGCACAATCTCAACCCTATGCCTTTTGAACAAGGCAACCATTGCTGCTACGAATTCCACTTGACTAAATTTTTTGCCAGGACATGGACGTACACCGTCCGACCATGGCTGATATGATCCTTTAGGTGGCGTGTGCACATATTCACAATCAAGTGGCGGCGTATCCGTACTCGGGGCTTTGGACAGAATCCAACGCGCTGCAGGATCAGTGTTAGTAATCGCTTATTCGGGAAATACCTTCAAGAAGGATTCGCAACCACACACTGTGTTAGGAAATGAATAGGGCACACAAGATGAAACGTAAGATAAAGTAAAGAGTGAACCAGTTGAGCTTACAGGGATGCCATTCGAGACTATTATCGCCCCAGTATGACGGATGGGAGTGTAGCGCATTAGTATTTGGGATAATGCGCGTATCAGGTGGAATGATGATTGTTCGACCATCGATAGCAAGAGGTTGCGAGGCCTCAAAAGTGGTCTTACAGATTCCGATGAGCGGATTCCAGAGGCGCACAGTTTCTAGCTGCAGCACACACTTAATGTCAGCATCGTTCTTGACTTAAGGAAGAAAGCACTCATTACCATGGTTGCAAGGCATCGATTTAATTTGGGATAGATCTCCTTGAAATCCCATGTCGATGGCATATCGTTAGTTATGACTGTGTTGATTTCTTCAGATATCCAGTCCTGGACTTCGGGATGAGCTGCGAGAAGATAGAGTGTCCAGTTGAGTACAATAGCAGTCGTGTCGTGACCAGCAAAATTATAAACGAATATGTTACCATAGATTTCCTCTTCGGTCAGTCCCTGAAAGCTATCTGTCCCATTTGAGGTTGAGTGATCTGACAACTGAGACTGTTCCTTGGAAGCCCGAAGCAACGAATTCGTAAACGTCGCGCTCCTAGTCTTTCCCTGCGAGATGGCATGTTTTTCGGCATTGAGCATCTCTGTCATGTAATACTTGAAGTCGACTGTTGCTTGACCTGTACGCTTCCATTTTGGCGGCCATGGCATTTTAGAGAGTAATCTGGGTCCAAGCACAAGAATGAGAAGACAATTTTCCAAGACTATGGCAAGGGAGTCTCTGTAGTTATATGTACGTCCAGGTTTGGGTAGCTCGATAGACTTTTTGAACGAGTATGATTTTCCAAATCCTGCCCCAGACAGCACATGGAGCGAGAAGGTTCGGGTATCCCTATCTGTGCGGGTTATGGGACCTTCTAAAGACTTCCAGAATTGTAGAATTTCGTCTGCTTGCCTCAAAGCCTCGATCCAAACTAAACTGTTGTTTTGATCGTTGAAAGGGGCGCTGGTGATTTTGCGCTGTCTTTGCCAATCTGCGCCGACGGCCTGGCATTAAGTTAACCTCGATAATTCTGGGGTTTGGGAATCAGCTTCACTTACCGTCGAGATATTAGGTCCGAACACTGCTAGCACGGCTATCACAGTAAGTAAAGATGTCAAAAAAAAGTTTATGTCATGCCTACCTAGGAGATCCGGAGGTCTATCAAAATCGTCCCTTCTTTTGAAGATCTCGCTCACTGCTTCGGGATTGCAGAGATATAGCCAATTGCGACCCGCCGAAACATGAATGACTGCATCACCCAGCTCCTGGTGCATTTTGTACTTGTCTCTAAACTCCCAGCCTGGCCGGCTGTATCGAGCGATGTCGCAGTCGCCAAATACAGCTCTTATTATAGGGAGCACGATGCCGGATATGAGAATCCACTATTCACGATAGTCAGCAACAGCCTGATACCAAAGATGTTGGAATATAGATAATATCAAATAGTGCTCAACGGTAGGGACTCGCAACATAGTTGACCGACGAGATCGTATAGTACTCACTACTGGGTTATCGCCGCTGGCGATGAGGATTCTGATCGGTATCCCTATTTGCGAGGCAATTCTGTAGTTTTTAACAAGACAACAAAGGTTCCAAATTCCAAAAGTGATAGGCATGAACGCCAGGAAAGCAACCACCAAGTAAGCCATAATGGTTGGGGGCGAGAACCGAAGAGTAGCAGAAAAAGAGGAATCGCGAGAAAACGAGGGAAAACGTGGGTGAGCTGGGACTGCTCAATGTCAATTCAGTTATTTGCCTTTTCTTCTCGTATGCAACGATACCAAATTTAACGCAGGTAAATTTACCCAACGGGGCAGCACAGCAGAGATCAGGACAACCATGGCAACTCGCCTGGTGGAGACTTCATGGGAGGGGTGGGAGATTCACGTCCGCTCAAATTTTCGGTTTCAAAGTGGTATTTTCTTGCCAGCTTTTTGATTAGGCTGGAAGTTGACATGATTTTATCAGCAGTGTAACCCTTTCTGTGATATTGTGAAGAAATCGGGTAATACCGCCGCAGAATCCATGGATACTATACCATGGTACGCATTCGAATTTCAGTCATGCATACTAGGCCAGCTCGGCTCGGGTGGGTGAACACAATTGGTGGGAAAGTTTAGCGTAATCAGAGAAAGGCCAAGCCGGGGCTCTTTAGGCATCTACTTAGTCATAGCCAGGCCAGAACAATACCTAGGCGAAAGAAATGGATAGATTAATTCTCGAAGAAACAATTATATCAGTACCTCGATTTCCCTTTTTCTCCAAATTAATTCATTCCAAAAGCTGTAAGTTTTGACTGGATGTGCCCTAAGCTCTTTTCGATACTAGTCTTGAAAGGTATCGTACCACATGGACCGGAACGAACCGTTTGTGACTACCTACCTAGATACCTAAGTAGGTAATGTATGATATATGGCATACAATGTAGCATCGAGACCTCCCTGTCGACCATACACATGTATGTACAGCGCCCCATGAATACACTAATCCTAGGATCTGCCTTTGCACGCACCCACTCGCATCAAATTTAGAATGTGTCGAAAGAAACATTCCAAAAATGTTGTCCCGCATAATGGAAAATTAGCAACCGCCCTCGAACCAGTAACGATTGAATAACCTGGAACAATGTTACGTTCATTGTTTTACTTTCCAAAAGCTTTGCAAAAGCTTTTGCAAAAGGATTAACCTTTAGACCAACACAGGAAGAACAGAACAGAAGGGAAGCAAAGAATATGGAGAAAAAAATACTAGAGCCTGAGATCATGCCATCATCTCCATCTCCATCTCCTCATACCTCAGAAGGTGCTACGATCGAAAACTTGGGCCGGAATTCTCTGTTAGAAGGCGACAACTTGGAAACATCCGACACCACAAGCCCCTATCTCCAGGGTTGGAGACTGGCTGTTGTGATCACTTCACTCACTCTTGGTATCTTTCTCATTGCTCTCGATACAACCATTATTGGCGTCGCTATCCCAAAGATCACGTCGGATTTTCGAAATCTAGATGATATCGCTTGGTTTGGAAGTGCCTACCTATTGACGGTGACAGCATTCCAGCCATCCTTTGGTACTCTATACAAATTCTTCAATGCGAAATATGTCTACTTGATCTCCATCCTCATATTTGAAGGTACCCTACTCGCTCATTTCATTCCTCTGTATAATTTACTTGCTAACTGAATGGAGTCGGATCCATCCTTTGTGCTGCCGCACTCAACTCTTCCATGTTCATACTCGGCCGTGCGATCTCAGGGCTAGGAGCTGCAGGTCTCTATCAAGGAGCTCTAGGTATAGTAGGGTATACTGTTGTCCTAGAGAAACGGCCACTGTACTTTGGGATCGTCGTCAGTTCCTTTGCAATCAGCGGGTGCATTGGGCCTATAATAGGTGGCGTGCTAACTGACCACGTATCTTGGCGATGGTGCTTCTGGATGTGAGTTTTAAGCATTTCTGATTACCCATACTCCTTACACGCCGTGTTATTCGGCTAGGTCTGACTCGATTCGTTTCAGAAACGTCCCTATCGGTGCGGTCGTTCTGGTGGTTGTAACAATCTTCCTAAATCTCAAAAGCTCGAACATTGAGAATGCTGCATTGCCACTTAAATCAAAAATGAAGTACGTTGACGGGGCGGGGACTCTTACATTCATAGGAGCAATAACATCCTTGCTGCTAGCTCTTCAATGGGGTGGTCAAAGTCTGCCTTGGAGCTCGCCAAAAATCATTGGTTTACTTGTTGCGTTTGGCGGCTTAGCTTTCATTTTCGCTATTATACAATGGAAGCGTGGAGAATGTGCTATAATCCCATTACGGGTTGTTTGTCAGCGATCCGTTTCCATGGTTATATGTTTGTTATTTTTCGTTGGGCTAACGATAACTGTTGTGAGACATGAGCTTCTTTTTCTGTTGAAATCTGGTATACTGATAGATATCTAGCTTTCGTATTATATTCCAATATATTTCCAGGCAGTTCGAGGGCTATCTGCAACTGCGAGTGGCATTCGGTTTATTTCAATGATCGTACCTCAGACAGTATGTCTGATCGTAGTTGGAGCATTCGCCTCTATATGGGGATATTATGTAAGATAAAAAATGGCCCCAATTTCATATGTTTCTAACGCCCGTTAGGCCCCCTATATTATAGCTGGAACGACAATTTGTACTGTCGGCTGCGGGCTTTTGACAACGATTGGACTTGGAACGACTACAGTACAATGGGCAGCTTTCATAGCCATCATAGGAATTGGATTTGGGGGAGCATTGCAGTTACCTTATACAGCCCTTCAATTGGTTTTAAGGTAGGAATTCATTGCCCTCTGGATCGTTTTATCTTGATATCTGACTGGAAATAGCGAGAATGACCTCCCAACAGGAAATGGTAATTGAAGTGCCAATCTCACGTCTGTTCGTCTGCTAACACCGCTCAGCAATTGCCGTGTTTTCTTCGCAATTAGGAGGGTGAGAACAAAATCTGTTTCTAATTCGTTATCTCCGCTGACCTATATGTCCTGATAGTGCTGTAGGGCTTGCTATAGGGCAGGTATTACTACTTACAAATCTTCAAACAAATATTCCTCGCCTTGCACCATCAATATCCCCTGATGCTGTCATACAAGCTGGCGCTTCGAATCTCAATCTTCTCACGGCAGATCCCGAAGTGTTGATTTCAATACGTGGTGCATGGTCAAGTGCTGTACATGCGGTGTTTGTGCTCGCTCTAGTAGCTTCAGCCCTCTCCGTTCCCTTTTCCTTTGGAATTGAACATCTGAATGTGCATGTTGTTGCAAAGAAGAGGAAAGAAGCCCAGTAGTCCAGGTCGACATGAAAACTTACGGGGGATGAATGATTTCCTCCAAGTGGTCAATGATCAGGTGTAGGCATAATTTGTACGATATGAGGATAGTAGTGGACAAGATAATCAGACGATGATAGTACTATCGAGAAGTGAAGTAATTAATAGCTACAGTTGTTTTACAGGGGCAGTATGGTGAATTTCAGTTCAGATCTCTTCAGTAGGAAGTGTATTATCTTCAGAAGCATCATATACACACAGCGCGATTGGCAATTTTTGAAGGAAATCGTTCAATTTTTTATATATCTGAGATTGCGATTGTGCACCTGTGAATGACCCAAAGACTTCATGTTGTTTTGTTGCACATTTCATCATCTCACGAGAACAGCATCGGAACCGGCTTCTGTTCTCATATATTTCTAACAGTCAAGCTCATCATAATACAACAAATGATGGCCCTAAGTTGGAATACCATATCCACAACTAAACATGATCAGTATTTTTTTTCCAAATTTAGGGTTCTGTTTCGGATCGTACCACGGCGAATAAACATGCCACTGTGAAATTGAGTTAGAGAACATGTATTTTGGTTCACGCGGCGAAAGGGAAGTATCTACCATCATCCCATCGCATTGAGCCAGCGCGGAGACTCTGAATACCCAACTTCACCATGATAGTCACGATGATAAAACGGATGGTGAAATTGTTGGTGCTGTACGGGGGTGTCATTCGGCTGGGGGGTATGGTTGCGGGAGTGTGAATCATTGTGAAGAAATGAAGGTCCAAATCATAAGGGGGAGGTTATGATGGCGAGAATGATATACGTTATGGCCACACGGGAAGTTGAATAGCATCGAAGCTTTAACCGTAGCTTGTTGCGCCGGAGAAAACTATTCACCAAGGCTTGGCAAATGCGAATGAGAAGTTGCTTCCGATATATTGATGTACTTTATCGAGTCTTTCAAACGGAAAACCCTGTGAGAGGTACTGTAAGTAACAGTGAAATCGCAGCCTTGATATTCCAGCACTGCCTTTCTTTCTGTGCTCCTGTTCCATGCAGACAACGATTCATTGGGAACGATTGAACACGCAACATTTCCCTAAGTCCACTAGCACTACCTGAAGACTAAGCATTTGGCTTCTTATTCGCCTCTGAGCAATTGGAATCTGGCAGGGGGACTAAAAAAGTTGGGTGCCGCTATTTTTCAAGCCCTGACCTGCAACGACTTACCAAACATTGCATAAGCCAATTTCGGCTAGAATTGTTCAAGCACGAAAGGGGAGTGTTGCACCGTGTCTGACCACCCCAAACTCCTTCCCTGAAAACACCTTCTCAATGAAGAAGATTTGGGAGGCAGAGCACATTAAGTGTGCATGCTGTCGCTTATTTGGCTCACCGAAGAAACGCGGCACATAAAAAAAGATCCCTATCTTTTCCAAAGAGAATTATCGAATCAAACAATCAATATTTTGGATTATGAATGGTAATTAGTAGACTTATAATTCATGATATTTTGATACTTTTGTAACATTTTTGTATTGGCGGGCAATTTCAAAATATTAGTGGTATCAAAAGAGTGAGCTCGTTTTTTCGTCCTCGGTGAGCTTGGTTAGCAACATCTTGTTTTTCCTGTCATGTGTAAAGACATCGGTTAATGATTCCAGATAATTGCCGGCCCCCGTTCAAAATCCGTCAACGTTGCATTTCTGGCATTGTGCGGCTGCAGGTGTGTGGTTTTACACTCAGGATTTTCAGTCCTACACTGATTATCTAGATTGGGTGTACGTAATGTATGTAACTATTCGAGTGTGCGTGATAAGAATAGTAGCATTTCTTTATGCTTAGTATCTTCTTAATCTTGAAAATCCAGGTGTGATTTTGCGGCAAAAGATATCTCGATATATAGGAAACTGTAAAATGTGCCTGTGTAAATATTTAGCTCTTCCCAACTTTGATCGATCAATCGTCCAGTGCCGATTACATCAGCCTTGATCTTCAAGTCCCCTTCTATCATCCTTTAAAGGCTACAGAATTTTGATATCCTCTAAAGTTTATCACTGCAATTTTCTTGCTGTTGTTATTTCATACAAGATTCAAACAATGGAGTCGGCGGCGCCTACAGAAAGACCTGCTCTGGTCAAAGAATCAGTCTTTAATGTGAGTAATTCAGAGCGATGCATCTTTTCAGCTGCATAGGATATCATCATTGACTAGCCTCAGGGAATTGTTTGGGGCGGAATGGTCGTGTCTCTTCTTTTTGTGATTGGAAGAATAGCAATCCGCCTTAGAAGCTTCGGGCGCCTTTGGCTAGACGATGCGTTCGTTGTTGTAGGATGGATCTGCATCTTGGTCTCAACCATTATTTGGCATTACGAAGCACATTCCATGTTTCTTAGTGCTGCAATTGCCTCTGGTCAAATGTCTCCTTTGGACGACCCCACCTACGCAACTGACACCGAACATTACCTGCGCTCATCTGTTGCGGTTATCATCCTGTTCTATACCAGTCTGATGACAATCAAACTATCATTCATGTTATTCTTTCGGAGGCTCCTTAGTGGAGTCCATGAAAAAGCACTGTTGATTCAATGGTGGTCTATTCTTGCCGCCATTCTTACCTCATGGCTCGTTTGTATTGGGGATATCGAGTATAGGTGCCTTGTATCGGACTTTATTGTGATTGCTACGAAATGCGTGCAATCAGAGTCGATCGACTTTCAAAGGATCACTCTGGGCGTGAACTGCGCCTTAGATGTAATTACAGATATACTAAGTAAGTAATGTGGCCGAGATATGTCAGCTTTCACTAAATTATCCAGTAATCACAATTCCGGTAGCAATACTATGGAAAGTCAAAATCACACCACGCCACCGAATGGCTCTATATGGACTGTTTAGCTTGACTGTCATCACAATGGCGTTTGCGATAATACGTGTAGCTGTAGTGACAGCTGCGTCCAGACAACCTGATTCAAGTTGGCTTTACATGTGGAGCGCTATCGAGCCTCCAGTTGGTGTGTTCTATTTGTTTTTGCATTGCCCTTCCTCGCATCAGCTAACAAAACCCAGCGGTCGTCATCTCGTGCCTTGTTTCTTTTAGAGCTCTTTTCGGCAAGAAGGAACCCGTATCACGCGTAACAGGCACGTACTTCGGAAAACGAGCAGGTGGTTATGGCACTCCGTTCAAGAAAATCAGCAACAATGGGGCTCAAGATAGCGCTGACTACACTATGGATACTTTGGTCGAAGATCGCCATGAATCTACAGGACCAGGAACTCAGTTGTATTGCACAACCTCTCGCGAGCGCATGCTACATGTTACCGCAAGCGATGAGACGCATGCTGATCCTCGCAAATGAGGGGCAAATGAAGGGGGCCAAATTTGGATGCGTAATTTGAAGGACGCCCTTACATTTGAACATCTTTACACAGCACACTAATGTGCATATCAATCTTATGTAAATAATAACCGTACGGAGTAGTATCATGACCGCAGCCTTTGTCATTATAGCTTTACATAGGAAGCTTCCTATTGATCAATGATAAATTTAACTGCATCAAAAGTCAGTAAGCAAAACAAATTGTTGGTTCACTTGAAGAAAATTACGCCGTCTTTCAGGGATTTAGAACACATTTGTGTCGGAAGATCGGTCGGGTAAGCAAGTAAGATATGATCTTATTTTTGACATCTTTCGCCAAAACGGGTAAGGTTATTTAGTTAAATGTACGTGCGAACCTTGTAGCCGCATCCGCTTTTTACCCTGCTGCATTTCAATGTCAGCAACGAAAAGAGATACTATCCCGATTCATGGAAAAAATAGTATTCACACCATGTAGATATATCCCTTGTGTGCAGGCATTGAGCAATCCCTATCGCGGGTAGAGCCGCGTGCTAAGTGGACAGATGCATGATGCGGGATCTACATTAATAACCTTTGGTTGCAAGTTGCGATAAAGCAGAGAATACACAAATGATATACGCTGAAGCTCTTGCATCTTGCTACTTTGGTCTTTTGACCTGATTTCTCTAATTCTACTCCGTGAAAATTCCGCATCCAATTCTGTTTGTGCAATAGAAACTTTTCACGTTTGCTATTATTACCGTATGAAGCATCACTCGCTTATGCCCCTACTAAAACTAGTTCCGAATTATACTAATCAATAATGATACCCTATATATAGCGAGGATGCAAAAAGCGAAGACTCTCTGTTGTATGGCCTGGCTTGGCCTGCCTGCTCTTGCATCGTGAAATCCAGCATTTCACCAACAATGCAACGGTGTCGTACCTACTGGCGAGTAAAGTGTGTTTGTCCTCTTCTTCCTCCATCCCCTGTATAAGGAAACAACAAGTCGAATCTATCTATATGCATCATTAAAGTGTCGATTTCACATGTCAGTCTTTCTTCTTCAAATCTCCATTGTCCCAGAATAGCTAAAATTCGACGGCCTTTCGCCCTATCTGGAATCTGCTCGCATGAATGCGCCTCGAAATCATTGATTAGTAGATTAATTTCTGGTTCTTCGACATGCCAAAATAGTTCCATTCATGACCCCACATCAATTGTGACTCTTCAATATCTAGAAATCGTTATCAAGTGGATCAATTATGCAGTCTCAGATACTTTAACGGTTTTCCAACTGGGACCTAATTGCATCACGCACCGGCGCGTGCACATTCTCCACAAACGAGTTCCAGGACTTGACACCAACCGCATCATTGAGGTCCATGCTCTTCATGATACTTGTTTACTCACATACCACCTTACGAATCTTCATAGCTAGCTTCGATGCTAAGTTCTGGTTGCATCGTGCAACGTTAGGTTCTTCAGCGGGCATCCAAATCCTAGCCTATGCCTTGGAACTGTGCCTCCCACATCGAAGCACCTTCAAATTGCACCCACCAATACCATCATACTCAGTGGAGGAATGAGCATTATTATTTTTAGCCCACAGTCTTTGCAATGCCGGTTTTTATACTCAATTAGATTTTGCAGGCATCGGTCTATGTGTCCCCTTTTATCGTTACGATCAGTAAATGTATCGTGTGGAGGCTTGCATGATACATACTGTGATACATACTGTGATACATACTGTGATACATACTGTGATACATACTGTGATACATACTGTGAATCTCTTTGGGAATTTCGTCTCACAGGCCAGCAGTTCGAGTAGAGCTTCGTTGGGGTCGGAGGCCGGCATGCATTCTATCATGTTTTGTTCTAGTCTCAAATCGATGTTTCCTTTCAGACTTGGATATCTCGAAATTTTAGGTGCATGTTCCAAAGAAAATTGGAATCTCCACCTTGGAAACATCAAAGGAGTCCTGGGAACCGGTGGTTTTCGGGCATCACTGAGTTTCGTGTGCATTCCAACCTCCGGCGTTTCTTCCTTTTGTGACTACTGTTACTTAATTCCTTGTTGCGTCGTAATCGCTGGTACCCTAAGTCCCAGAGATCCGGGATAGTGAAGGCTCATGACATCTAAGTCTAATGTCAGGTTATCACCTCCCCCTTCTAGTGTTTCTCGCATATTACATCTTGAAGATTTAATATCACTGTGGCATTGGAAATCAACCTAATTGACAATGTCCGTCAGCTCAGAGTCAAGCTCCCAGGACGTGGTCGTATCTTTATGGATGCATTGCAGCATATCTGACACATCATAAATTGCGATTTGCTAGTACCAATTCACCCGTGTATTCGTTTCCACTAAAACGCAGCCCTGATCGCTCAACGAGAATCTGGATAATTTGGACCCATTGACGGAATGCTGTAGGTCCTCCTGTCTAGCAATGCCAATGGAGGGCAGACTCCTGCACTCTTGAGGCGGAATCACCGCTTCTCAATTTCAGGCTTAGCTAGACTTTAATACTTTATCTATGCATCGAGAATAAGACGGAATAGTGTGTGCCCATCTGCTCAAAGTTCTCCTACGTTCTCGAAAGGGGAACTTCCTGAATTCATCGACTTGCCTGGCGGCAAAATACTCTTGACTGCCTAGGCGAGCGTCTGCCTAGGTTCCACGGGAATCTTTCTGCTTTGATAAGTTCAATGGAATTGGAAAAGGAAACTGCCAGTATAACATCTTCGCAATTCTTGACATGTGCTTGCCGAAGTGATCATCAGGTATTCCGATAGGTTCAAAAATGCCTACCTACAAGCTTATATCTATAGCATCTCGCTCTCCCACTTCAATCTTGCTCAGATTTTCCTTGTATGTATTTCCTCTTAGAACATCTCTATCAATAGCTACATCGTCATCGTTTTCCTGACCGCCAAGACACCTCGAGGAAAAGCACAGGCGCTACTCCATTCTCAACCATAACCACCACAAATCTGATAGCTAAATTATGCTCTCAGACGCATACCTGTCAATAAAAGATGTCTTTGATGTCGCCTTATATGGCAGCATGTTTATTGGAAGGTATAGCCTTCGAAATCTTCTCCCTTTTGTCTACGATCAAGGTCGTCAACATTACTTCTTGTATATTATCCTGCTTTATCTGTGCTGGGAATTTTATAGAGTAACTTATTCATACTATTTCATGACACCGGTAAGAAACTCTTACTTTATCCTCCCTTGTATTTTACCTTTAGACGATCAACTTACGCACCGACAGCGAAATGTAGAAGTAGTGGGTGCTTCCACTCTCTTGCAGAATATTATGACCAGTTGGGAAAGTCTATTCAACACAGGAGGGCTTATAGCCAAAGGGTATGCTCGTGTAAGTAGATGTCTCGTTCAAACTCTGCTGAAGTTTGAAGGCATAGCCTATTTATATTTCTAGGCGCACGGAAAACCATTCGCAGTCCCACAACAAGACAAATACCTTCTTGTTGTATCGTCTCCAGAACAGATCCACGAGTTAGTTGCAGAAGCTACTCGAAAGAACAGCCGTATCTCTTCTCAAGTACTTGGAGTTGATGTGAGTACTTCCTTTCAAACAAGAAAATTTCTGAACTGACACGTCAAAAGCTTTTCGAACCGGAATACACCCTCTCAGCTGAACGAGGGGAATCAAAGACGCACATCGCATCTAACCATTTGAAGCACAAGATTACCTCCCATCTCCCTTATGCCTTCCCTGAAATGCAACAGACTGTTCAGAATGCCTTTCTAAACGAAATGAAGGGAGACAAAATAACTGACGGTGAGTTTGATTGACGCAATCTGGATACATCTAATTGATTCTTATTAGGCTGGGAAAAGGTTACGCTTTATTATGTGGCAAATCGAATTGCAGGCAGGATGAACAATGTCCTTATCTTCGGTGATGAACTTGGTAAGCCTTGGTGCTCTCAAGTGCTACAAATACTAACACTCACTCACAGCAAGCAGTACCGGGTTTTATGAGTCATGCATGAGATTTATAACTGATGCTACCATTCTTCTTGGGATACTTCGTCACATTCCCCGCATCTTTTATCGGTAAGAAAGAATCCTGCCACTTGTTCCTCAAGACTAATTATGTGCCTATTATTTTAAAGACCTGTATCGTGGGTGGTCATGAACTACAGCGGCGCTAGAGCAAAGTTCGAATCCCTTGTTGCTTCCGAGATCATAAAAAGACGATCTGAAAGTCTCACGGAAAAAGAGAAGCACGTTAGTCTGCTGTGACATGCCTAATATTGACCGCGTTATAACTGACTTCCCACCAGAAGGACTGCTTACAATGGATCATGGACTATTCTGGCGACGCACCTGTTGATTACATCGCACGACAAATGCTCTCTATGACACTAGGTGGAGCGCACCAGCAGCCTATGGTGCGTATAGATTCGACATCTTACTTCAGATCTGTACCCAGTCCCGCTGACGGCAGAAACAGTATGCTGCATTCCTTCTTTACAATTTGTGTCTTCATCCGGAATACACGGAAAAGCTAAGGGCTGAGATTCGGGCCACCAAGGAGATCCAATTCCGAGACCTTCAAAGCGGCACCCCATATCTTGACAGTTTTCTCAGAGAAGTGGCTCGACTTAATCCTTTGACTCATGGTATGTGATTCTGACTCGACATGCGAATTGAAATAAAGATCTAACAGAACCAAGTTGCCTTGCCACGCAAGGTCATGTCAGAATTCACATTCTTAGATGGAACGCATGTACCAAAAGACAACTGGATCTGTGTTCCACATGAGCCATTGATGAGACTCTCGGATGTTTATGCCGTCCCCCAAGAGTTCAACGGTTTCCGGTTCGTAAATGAAGACAGTAGCGGTATTCGATCCAAAAACCGATTCTGGGATATGAGCCGAGAGTTTCCCTTCTGGGGAAATCCCAAAACAGGATGGTACGTAGCCATCATGAAGATGATCCACTTGAATGAATTTCAGGCTAACTTTACGAGTAGTCCGGCCAGATACTACGTGTCGATGAACATGAAGATGATAGCCATACACTTACTTGACAACTATGATTTCAAATTATTCGAAAATAACGCGCCGCCAAAGCTTTCTTATCATGTTTTGGACATGCCTCATCCCAAGTTGAAGGCCCTGGTCAGAAGGCGCGAGCATATAGAAGTGTAGATCATGTCTGAAGGTTCTCTATGTTTCTTGGGGTTCATTCGTCTAGGTAATCGGGAGAAAGTCTTTTCTTTCATTTCTTATCGTCCATATTAGTAGCTATACCTCAATATGAGTAGAACATGCGAGCATATTTGAGGCGAGTCAAATTTATCAACATCATAATACAAAAATTTAGTTTCGATACCCGGAGCCCATTGGTTGAGACATGTGGATAAAGATGTAAAGCACCAAGGCCACGCCCTTCTAGATAAAACGGCCATTAGATCCCACCATACTTTAATGATTGACCGTGAGCAAACCACAACTCCCCTCGTGTCTATGATATAACACTCATTTTGCAGAAAGAATCAGTTATAGAATCTCGAGAATAGGCCGCTCACAGTATAAATGTTGAACGCAATCAGTGGGTAGCCATGGCAAATGTAGCTATGAACATCAAGGCTTATTGCCCTTCACCTCACCGAGACTTGCAATTGCTTTGACAGAGTTGGCTACCTCAACACCGTCTCTGATGTAAAAATTATGATGCCAGTTAAGGAATGCCCATTATTCATATCTCTAGCAAATGCGGTCGAAGTCAAAGATGAAGTTGCATTTCATATCATCATGATACTCATTGACTCGTCTTATGATACCTATCCAAGTACATCAATCACACCAATTTTCGCTGTTGCCCTAGATCCCTCACTACCCACCCAGTATGAAACCATGCCCCAGAATTTCAACAATTCGAAAAGTCTTAACTTAGCATTTACTAGCAAAGTCAGAATCTCGATAAGATAGTAAAGGCATTCAAAGGCGTTTGGTTCACCTTTGTTTCAACGTCGAATCTCCATTTCATGATCCGATCAACTCGACCATACACTCTGAGGACTGGGCGTTCCAATGGCAGTGAATTGGAAGAAGAAGAATTAAATTTAGCAAGCACAGTGAATCCAGGTCATTTGAAATCCTAGAAGCATGTTAACTTTGAGGCTTAGCGATCAAAGAATCTAATTCCATTCACCCCTTTAGGTCAACTTCCTCCTACAAGTACTGTGGTATTATGGGCCAACCCTCGAAAAATATCTCTTCAGTCTTGATATCGAAAAGAAACTACCCCGGCAAACACTGTCACTTACAGAGGTGGATTTAATCTAAAACGTAAAACTAAGGAAGTGGTTATGCGATAGCCACTACTGAGCCAATATTCGTAGAAGTTGACTGCCGGGCAGAAAAATAGACCTTTTCGGAGAAATATCAAGAGGGGTTCAGACTCTCATCTCTTGTCTTCATTATTGCTATCGCTTACAGCTCTTCACTGCCACTCATAGCACTATCGTTGTCACTGCCATTTACATCATAGCAACCTAATCAGACGAAACTTATTGACAGCCACTGGGCGTGATTGAATCTCCGGAAAAAAAGATTATGGTTTCATTAGACAGAAATTCTGACCATTGCGTAACAAACTTCCTGGTAAAATAACTCATGGCTTGGAACATTGTTGTCTTGCTGGAACTCAATCGAGCAAATAAACAATGCAAAGATTTGGAAAGAATTGTTCGGTTCGAGAAGATGATGGCGACAATATAAAGAATTCCGCAGCATGAAAGCTCAAGCTTGAAAGGCTTACTGAGAACTGACCAGGAGAAGATATAGCAAATTGGACATAGGTTGTCGAGCCGTTGGCAAATGTTTACACTTCTCATTCATACGAATTTTATATTTCCCCAACTAAGATATCAAAACGAATGATAGGTATCGAATTATCTGCCAGTCCAACTCCCAGAGACCTAGCCTGTTATAATATTGCGTTTGTCCCGTGTACTTATTTCTTGTGGTGTGAACTTGAAAGAATATGCGAGCTCATTGTCTTACTCCATACTATGGAGTAGGTGAATCATACTCGAGGTGTGAAAATAAAACAACGGACGAGAGAGCTTGGAAGCTTGAGGAGAATACTTGGTAGAGAGGAGAGTTCCAATAATCTTCAGATGAATCAAAGAGTTCATAATCAAATACAAGCCGATGGAACAAAATAGAACAAGACAACAACTTCAGTCCCCAAAGCATATTTCTGCCAAGCAAATCGTACAGATTCATGCAACTATCCGCACTTGGCAATCTGTTAGTGAGGTACGCCTTCCAACTATTTCAATACGATTGATATGATGAAACTTCACTCAATATTCTCATGTCAAAATTTTGATATAACCTCGTAATTTTTCTATTATCGTTCGTGATATTCGCGGCCTCGCCTGAAGATAGAAGGTCTATCAATGCTTACAGACTGGTAAACTCCACTTTTGCTCGAGAGATAGATTGGGTTTGAACTTTGGTTTGAGCTTATCGTACCTGACAATATGCACAGGGCGAGGAATGTTCTATGCTTGTCGCTGCATTTCGACTCTTGGGATGATTGATAATTCTTCAATTCATGAAAATATCAAAGAGAATGGTGGAGGCAGGGAGGCAGGGAGGCAGGGAGGCAGGCTTGAGGCCCGGGTGCCGCAACTTCCTATCTACTACGCCTTCTCGCCTTTTCTTATTCATCTTGATTCATTTACATGATCAACGAAATATTCATTACTGATATCATCGGGTCTATGCTATTCACTAAACTCTAACAGGCAGGTGCGCAGAGGGCCGAGGCGATTAAGAGAACTAAAGCCGGTAAGCGAGCCTATCTTGACTTTTTGATATCTCCAGTTTATCAAAAACGGGGAAAGATATACTAGCGTCCAATCCATTCCCCTCGTACCTTTCAACACCATGTCAATTCATGTCATATCTTCAATATCATAGGTTGAGATTGGGTTACATCGTGTGTAAGGTACGGCAACTACGGTGAAAGGATGGTGAATCCTCAATGTCTTAGTTCAAGAACCATGAATCAGGACTAGGGTAGTCCTTCCACATCGTCATAATCATGGAAATTTACATGAGATGACAGCTCCGATAGCTCTAAGCTCTCATTACTTTTCGGATAGCAGCTTTAAAAATACTTAAAGCTCTCCCAGATCCCTCGTATCGAAGATTTCCTTCTACATCCGCAATATTTTCACACGATCCGAGTTTTGTTACTTGACGGATCAGCCAAGATGCGTTTCTCAACCGTAGTTTCGACTCTTGCTATTGCAGGTGGAATCGCCGACGCCACTCTTCATTCTGGAAGAAGTTTGAGGCATGTTGGAAAGAAGGACAAGCAAACCCACAAAGCTAGGGATACGGCTCCAAGAGGAGAGCAGAAACATGAAAAAAGGGATGCTAGTTTTCCATACTTGACTAATTCCACTGCTAGTAAGTATTTCGAATGCAACATTGTAGGAAAACCACTAACAACTTCGACAGAATTCAGTGTGAATGGTTCCGCTATCCCAGATGTACCTTTCGATGCTGGAGAATCATATGCTGGTTTGTTGCCAATTTCAAAAGCCGCAAATGAGACAAGAGAATTATACTTTTGGTTCTACCCATCGACAAATGAATTGGCTTCCGATGAAATTCTCATTTGGCTTAACGGAGGTGTAAGTGACTTCACCAATTGTATATACATATCCACAACATCTGACTAATTGGTATCCCAGCCCGGATGTTCATCCCTCGAAGGATTAATTCAAGAAAACGGAGCTTGGATCTGGCAATACGGTACCTACGCTCCTGTTCAGAACCCTTGGACCTGGGTAAACCTTACCAATGTTGTTTGGGTCGAACAACCTGTTGGTACTGGTTTCTCCCAAGGTATACCTACTGCTACCAGCGAAGAAGAAGCCGCTGCCCAGTTTCTCGGATTTTGGGAGAATTTCGTCGACACTTTCGATTTGCAAGGGAGAAAGATCTTCATCACTGGTGAATCGTATGCGGGATACTATGTTCCATACATTGCCGATGCTATGTTTAACAAGAATGATACTTCTACTGTGAGTACCCCCATATCATCAATTGAATATGAATTGAATCTGACGATCAATAGTATTACAACCTCGAAGCAACCATGATCTACGACCCTTCTACTTCTTACGATGCCGTTCAAGAACAGATCCCCGCAGTTCAATTCGTTGATTATTGGGGTGGTCTCTTCCCCTTCAATGATTCCTTCGTTGAACAAATTCACAACGTGTCTGATTCTTGCGGCTACACCGATTACCTCGCCAAATACCTTACTTACCCACCACCCGGGCCATTCCCATCCGCTCTCCCTGGCACAGGCCACGATGGAATTTCTACCACTGACGAGTGCGACGTCTTTGATTTGATCTACAATGAAGTCTTCAGCGTCAACCCTTGTTGGGACATTTACCAAGTAGCCACCACTTGCCCTCAACTCTGGGACGTTCTCGGATTTCCCGGCTCTAACCCCTATCTACCTGCCGGCGCCTCCGTCTATTTCAACCGCACCGATGTTCAAAAAGCTATTAACGCTCCCGCCATCGAATGGGAATCATGCTCTAGCATTGACGTCTTCGTAAACGGAACAGACAATTCTCTCCCCTCCGGTCTCTCCGTCCTCCCCTCCGTCATCGAACGTTCCAAACGTACCGTTATCGGCCACGGCGCTTTAGACATGGTCCTCATCGCCAACGGCACTCTCCTCATGATTCAAAACATGACCTGGGGCGGAGCTCAAGGTTTCACAAGCAAACCCTCTGATCCCTTCTACGTCCCATACCACACCGAGCTCTCCGATTCCACTCTTGCTGCTTCCGGAGTCTTGGGTACAACACACACAGAGCGAAACCTCACATTTGTGTATATCGATTTGAGCGGTCATATGGTTCCTCAGTATGCTCCTAGTGCGTCGTATAGAACGCTCGAGTATCTGTTGGGAAGAATCGATAGTCTGTCTAGCACAGCGCCATTTACCACACAGGAGGATGTCGTGCAGAGTACGGCTCCTCTTGGAAATGGTACCGGACCGCCAATCAAGAGACAGTATGTTGGGGGTATGCAATTTTAGATGTGATGGGTAATGGGTGTGTGGAAGTGGAGAGGAATAGATAGAGAGATGATGCATGATTATAATGTGTATGATGAAATGAAAATATGAATTGATTCTTAATTTCAGGATAAAAATGATCTTAGTGACTCGAAATTATTGTGTGGAAGGGCTCACCGGGGATTGTGCATATAGACGGAGCTCGCCGGTACACACAGTGGACAAAATAAACCATAATTCAAGACGAATCATTCCGATTTTACAACCAAATCAAGGCTGAGAGGAGAGAGCACGAAAAAGGTTTATAGTTTGAAACATCCAAAAGTGTCGTTGAGCTAAACTGGAATTTCGATTTCGAGAGGCGATGTTGGCCCGTGGCGAAGGGGAAGAAGGATATTGTTCCCAAAATTGCTGAGATGCTTTGATATACCGTATTGATAGATTTCCCTCATCTCACACTTCAAGTCGACAATATGTTATTGCTTGAAAAAATCCCCGTTCACTGGACTGATAATGAACAAGACTGACACAGCAAAGTAGGTTCATGCATAAAGTAAAAGGCAGCAAAACTATTCAGATTTTGATATATTTTCGTACAATGTGATAAAATCAATGAGAGTGGACTATCTCAAAAACGCCTGGTCATCGTCCCCCAAAACTCCTCGCTCCCGTATGTTTACTTGTGTGCTTTGATACAAAGGCCCGCCGCCTAATGAAAGTGTAGAGTGATCACGATCGTGAAAGAGCGTTGTCTCATCTCTTTTCCCACTGCTGTCCTCTCGCCTCATCCAGTATATGTTCATCCTCCATCCTTATGCTATTTTCATATGTAACCTTACATTTCATATTCCATCATTCAAAATTTTCGCTCCATGCCCGCAAACATTAATTCCCTATCCCGCCTCATCCCATCCAATACCCCCACTAACCCACCATTTCGCATCCTCTCCAACACAACCATCATTCCCTCCTTACTCTTCCCCAATTGATTTTCTGTCTTCCTACTAGCAATGGCCTCGATACTTCTTTGCACTCCCTTGGTACTCCAATTCGCCAACCATCCCTTCTTCTCTTCCTCGCCTTCTTCTCCCTTCCTCATCGCCCTCAACCGATCACCAAGTCGACTGCGAAACATAACCTGCGTCTTCACACCCGTCATTCCCGAGCCTTGCATAAATTCTTCCTCGCGCACTTCCTTATCTGCTGCTCTGTGAAAATCTTGTCTTTCCACTACACTCAAAATACCCGTCCAATCCAGGTTTCTACTCTCTGTCTTCATCCATCCTTCTTTAATGTCCACTTCCGAAGTTTCTAGAATATATGATTCGCTTCTATCGCTTCTCACATTGCCAAGTACGCTTTTGGGCAGGAGCTTGAGGACTGCGGATGGTAGACGAGTGGATTTGCGATGGATGCGCAAGGTACGCAGACGACCTGTTTCGGGACACACGGTGCGCGATATCACATCGGTGGAGAGCACATGTGTGCTATGTGGATTTGGGTAACGCAGAAAGTAGGCGAATGTAACAGCAGGGAAAGAGTAATCGTAAGAGTAAGATGATTCGAAGAATTTGACCATGATTATGGATTTGAATGAGGATTGATTAGTTGTTCAATTGCGTAATTGTTTAATTGTTCGTGATATACATGTAGTTGCAGTGATGGTACAAGAGGTCTCGGGAAGTGAAGGTAAGAGGTAGGGAAAAGAATGAAGTGAGAAATGAAAGTCGAATGAGGAATCGAATGCTGGTGGTATGATTGTTGATCTTGATGAATTGGATTGGAAAGCTTCTGGAAGGGATTTGCTCGCCTGATTCCTTTCCCCGGATTTTCGATTTTTTTTTGGTTTAGTGTGATGGGGATTGAGATGAAGATGGACGAATTATTTGTTGTCAATTGTGGTGGAATGAATTTTGATGGATCACAACATTTAAAGAGGTAAACAGCAATGAAATGGGAATGAAATAGGATTGAAATGGAACATCTGAAGGTTTACAACCATACTCATCATATCCAAAAAAGACACTAGCAAACCCCGCAGAGCTTCGATGGTTCAAAGCTCAACGACAGTCAGCTGGAACAAAGCAATCCTAATTGGAGATCTTTCAGCACGTGATCTTTGAGACAAATCCTTCACCGCTTACAAATTGGATGATTGTATGGCAATAATTTCCCCTCCATCAATAATAAAGAACAAATAACCCCTCCTTCAATTCCAAAACACTCTTCCTCAATCCTCATTCACCACCATGACAGACGCGGAACCTACTCTCGCTGCCAGTTTGGCATCCGATGCTCCTACCAGTAAACAAACCGTCGATCCATACAATGTCGCTGGAGAAATTGGCGCAGATGGAATCGCAAAGGCTATCAATTATTTGACTTTGATCGATGAGTTTGGAACCAAGAAAATTGAGGAGGCGGATTTAAAGAGATTTGAGGAGGTAACTGGTCATAAACCTCATAGATTTATGAGAAGAGGAATTGTCTTCAGTCATCGTGATTTGCATCTTATGCTGGATCGCCATGAGAAGGGGGAACCATTCTTCATGTATACGGGACGAGGACCAAGTAGTGATAGTATGCATATTGGACATACTGTTCCTTTTGAATTTACAAAGTAAGTTTGAATTTTCAAGAGAGTTCAACTTCGCACATTCTCCGAACATTAGGAGCATATTACAGAATATGTAATTTTTTCGAATCATACTGATGACTCATTCACAGATGGTTGCAAGATGTATTCGATGTTCCATTGATCATCATGCTTACAGATGATGAGAAATATATCTTCTCCGAGAAACGTACAATTGAGGAAGTTCAAAGTTATACCAATAGTAACGCGAAAGATATCATTGCTGTTGGATTCGACCCCAAGAAGACATTCATCTTTAGCGATTATGATTACATGGGGGGAGCGTTTTACAAGAACGTTACCCGAATCTCCAAGCACGTTACATTGAACGTTGCACGAGCTGTCTTTGGCTTTAATGATAGGTAAAAGATTATGACCCCAAATACCTGGACTTTATTGACAATTCCAGTTCCTGCATAGGCAAAATCCATTTCGGAGCTGTCCAAGGTGCAACATCCTTCGCTAACTCCTTCCCACACATCTTCGGCACTGATGAATCCAAAACTACTCAAATTCCCTCCCTGATTCCTTGCGCCATTGATCAAGATCCTTATTTCCGCATGACCCGCGATGTAGCCGCTCGTCTCCATTATGCCAAACCCGCACTTATTCACGCTCGTTTCCTCGACGCTCTTCAAGGCCCCGGTTCCAAAATGAGCGCTTCAGTCGATACCTCTGCAATCTTTATGTACGATGAACCCAACAAGATTAAGAATAAAATCAATAGATATGCATTCAGTGGTGGACAAGTTAGCGAGCAAGAACAACGAGAAAAAGGAGGCGATACAGAAAAAGATGTTTCATATCAATATTTGACATTTTTCTTAGAAGACGACGAGGAATTAGAAAGTATCAAGAAAGCATATAGATCTGGAGAAATGCTTACAGGAGAATTAAAAGCAAGATGTATCCAGGAATTACAAAAATATGTCAAGTCATTCCAGGAGAGAAGAGCAAAGATTACAGATGAGGTTGTGGCGGACTTTTTCGCTAGAAAAGAGTTGGTTTGGGGTGGAAATCCAAATGCCAAGAAAGTTTCTCCCGCTGCTGGAGAGGAATCTGCAAGCGGAGAAGGTGTTGAGGGAAGTGGGGAGGGTGCAGGAAAATTGACGAAGAATCAAGAGAAGAAATTGGCCAAAATGAAGGCAATTGAGGAGAAAAAGAAGGCTGCTAAGGCTGCTGGTGGGGCCTAAATCATAGGAATAGAAGTGGCCGGAGAGTGCTGAATGTCCTTGAGGGGGGTTAGTGGAAGGATTTCGATGAAAATATGATGAGATACGAATGATACACATGATGCGAGCTACACAATTCAATACCCAAATCTAGCTATCTGATTTCTATCTTCTATCTTTTGTTCTCTATGTTTGCTTTGACGTTGATTTTATTTTGAATACGAGCAATGCAATGGGGACTCGACTTGAAAGAAGAAGAATATAGACCAAAAAGTTTACGACGTGCGAACAAATATGCAAAGATACCTACTTTAGGTGTAGACTAAGGAAATACCTAGGGTTCTAGTCATCCATAGGTACTCTGATCTAATCTTCATCCTATCTACCCATCCTATATCTATCCACCTATCACCCATTTCTACAAATACCTACGTCCATATACCCGTGATCTACACATACCACATACCCCATACCCCATACCCCATACTTCACATTCACTTCCTTTTCCCTTCGTCTTTCTCATGCCGAAAATCCAAAAGCTAAAAATAGAAATTTATCAACGTCCCGGGTAGGTAGGTATCTCGGATGTGGTTTTGGGGGGAGGGGGTATCTACTAGATAGGTAGGTTTCTTATTTTATATTTGTATATCTTTCCTGATAATATTTATTGTTGTTATTATTATTATATTATTATTATTATTATTATTATTATTATTATTATTATTATTATTATTATTATTCTTATATATTATTATTATTATTATTTATTATTATTATTATTATTATTATTATTATTATTTTATTATTATTATTATTATTATTATTATTATTATTATTATTATTATTATTATTATTATTATTATTATTATTATTATCGAAGTTGTTTATAATCAGAGCTGGAATTAAGATCGTGGTTGTGGGTATATCTTTCCTTGTTATGGTTGTATTGTAACTTGTGGTTATACTTATTATTATTATTCTTCTGTTAGAAATAGAAATAATAATAGAAATAGCAATTATTATATCTTTTCTTATAATCATTACTCTCAATCCTATTTACTTTATTTCATTTTACTCTACTCTACTCTACTCTACTCTACTCTACTCTACTCTACTCTACTCTACTCTACTCTACTCTACTCTACTCTACTCTACTCTACTCTACTCTACTCTACTCTACTCTACTCTACTCTACTCTACTCTACTCTACTCTACTCTACTCTACTCTACTCTACTCTACTCTACTCTATTCCCCCAATACTCTCCCAATAAATACACAGCTAATACTCAACCAATATCCCTATCTCTATCCTTCTTCTTCCTCTTCTTCTCACCCTGTTATAACTCTCACCTCAATCTCAAAGATACAATACAATACAATACAATACAGTATAATATACCAGACCATACCATACCATACCATACCATACCATACCATACCATACCATACCATACCATACCATAAAACAAAACAAGACGAAAAGAAAGAAAGAAAGAATATGAATCACAATCCATCCATCCATCCATCTGCTGAGCTTGAAGATAATGATTCACAAACCACCCATCCACCCATCCATCCATCTCTCCATCTATCCATCTATCATCTATCCATCTATCCGCCCATCCATCTATCCATACACCCTTCCACCCTTCCACCCTTCCACCCTCACACCCTCACACCCTTCCACCCTCACAACCTCCTCACACCCTCCTCACATTCCCGCACATCAATGTATCTACCAATCTACCTACCCAGTATCCATACATCATACATCACACATCACACATCACACATCTATCCGTCTCGCAGTCTCGCGAATAAAGTCACACACCCCCCCCCCCCATATTAACACTATATCCATATTCAGATCTGTGAATCGATTTTCTCTTCTCTCCCCTTCAAATCATTTCCTCTCCTCCCCAAATCATTAATCCATACATAAATCCCAACCCCCCCCCCCCCCCCCCCCCCACCCGCATTATCCATTCATACCACCTCTCCCTAGAATTATTACTCACTTACTCACTCACTCACTCACTCCCCCACTCACTCCCCCACTCACTCCCCCACTCAAAACCACCTTACCTAACCTAACCTTACCTAAATTCCAACTATCATTCATACATATTTCTGAATCATCAAATCAAGTACACACTCGCACTCGCACTCGCACTGACAGAATTACAGTATTAGTATCACAGTATTACTACATACAAACACCCATCCGTACGATCTATTCACGAGATATCTTAATACTTTAATATTTTGATATTTTTATACATTAGCTTCACCCTCTCTCTCTCTCTCTCTCTCTCTCATTTCAAAATTTCAAAGTTCGATTCTTAAGGATTTGATATTTGATACTTAATACTTAATACTTATTTTCCACTTCTTATTTGTTTTGTTATTGGTTTTACTCCCGACTTGACTGTGAATGGGATCTCAAGAACGATTCGAATAACGATTTAAACAACTCAAACAACTAGTACAAAAGGAATGTGACTGGAACTTTATATTATACATACATACATACACACACACACACACACATACATATTAAAGCCGAGTCACCATTACTACTATTTCAAAGCACTTATTCTTACGCCGTAGGAATACACACATCTATTTATCTATGCACTGAGTGGCATAGCTTCCTAGATGACTCACAGCTGGCTTTTTCGTGTTCATAATTTACTTACTCGACGACTCACAACTCGCAAAGGCCGTGCTGATATATTTGCTGGAGGTAGAGTTTACTTGCTCTTTGCATCCTACACATGGTACAGAGCTGGAAAAACATCAACAAGTATGGGTAAAAATATCAACACAAGGATGGCGCCCAAGTCATGGGTTGCATGTACAAAGCCTGAGGGTAAGGGTATGAACAGCAAGACTTCTGTCAAGGCCGATAAGTGAGAGCACATTCTTTCTTTTTGTTTTTGATGTTCCCAAGCTTTTCTAGTTTTCATGCTGTTAGAGTAAGATGGATATTTGTACGGTTTACTCTGAGCTTGTGGGCATCGATTAACAATAACCACTCTTAGACGCGATATCACCCTCCTCGTTCTTCTTCTCCGTCACCGCATCACCCCTCCAGTACCATACATCATTATTACCGAGATTATCCTTAGCATGTCACCGGATACTTACCAGGATTCGTGCCATAAGAACTGCAGATTGGAGAATCTGACAGAGGAACAACAATATCATTGGTTCGCTTGGTGGTGTAAAGAAATGGAGAAGAAAGAAATAATGAAGGGTGGTGGGAGATGGGTAGCTGCTGTTAGTGAGTATTTGCAAACTGAACTTTGTGATGCAAATTGCATGTGCTAATGGTATGACTACAGATTGGGAGAATGAAAGAATCAAAGAGATATGTGGTTGTCTGCGAGACCAACTGCAAGGTCGGGGTCCAGTGTTCGAACTTGTTGACCAAGAAGGCGTGGCCAGATTGAAATTACAAGTTGGTCAAAAAAAGCAACTCATAAAGCAGAATAAGATCTTGAAGGAGAAAGAAGATTTCATACGAGCGCAGGAGGATCAGAGCACCTTGCAAGCAGACTGGTATCTCAAGAATGATTGTACGTACAACCCCGATAGGGTCCAAATAATGTTGAGTGTACTGATCAATATTTTCAGGGAGATACGGTAGCGTCCCTGACCTTACCCTCCTCAGCCCCAAGTCTGTAATTGGTCAAGGATATCCGTTGGATGACTTTCTTAGGCCTTTCGACGACGACTTACGAAGTTGGAATTTGACTTTCGAAACGGCCAGTACAATCTCAGCTCCCTCTACTCATTCTTCTTCCGCTAGTCTGACCACTTGGTCTAACTCTTCTACAATTACTGCCTCTACCATGCCACTTGGGTACACAGATGAAGAGGAGAAAATTCTCAAGACAGTCAACAAATACAAAGCAACAAAGAAATTCGAGAAAGTCATGGATTTCAAGGAAGCAATGCGAAATAAGCTCGACAAATTGGATATGGCGGAGAGAGAGGGTAGATTGGTCAATGATTGGATGATGACCGAATCTATGGTGAGGGTATGTTAAGGGTAAGGAAAGACACATTGGAGAATGATGATCATTGTGAAGTTTTATCACATGTTCTCGTGATATTATGATAGAAACGCGTGTGTTTTATGCTTAAAGCATGGGCGAAGGACTTCCCACGCAAATTGTAATATTAGAATGAATTTAGAAGTTAGAATGAAGAATGAAGAAATATTCAAAGTGTTTACCTACCTACCTAGTGAGATGCACTCTCAACGCGATCGGCGCATGTGAGACATAGCCCAGTGGAGTGGGGTATATTCTTCTCGGTACTTGGTCGTATATGCAAAGAGAAAAAAGCAAAAAAGGCAATGGTATGATTCCGTATGAACAACAGATGATCTCAGGGGAGGTGAAACGAAATTGGTCATGAAACTGGTTCAATCAGGCGTCAAATTTTGTAACAAAAAAGAGACTTTCCCGCTCGGCTGATATGCGCTCAGAAATTAGTTTCCTTGAAGCGCTGTAGAAGAGAAACGACCAAGCAAATGACCGGGTCCAAGAGAGGGTGGAAGATGTATATGTTGTGGCTTGTTATCTTTCTTCATATTTAATGAAGTCTTGGATGATAGAGGAGAGAGGAAAGAAAAGTGTTGTATATGATGTATTGTATATATATATATTGTGTATGATAAATTCCAGTATTGTATATATATTGTATATGATATATTCCAGTATTGTGAAATCTCCTATATTCTGACTTGATTCATATTGATGTTAGTTGAGGATGGAAGATGGTTGTGTTGGAGGAGAGTGAGATTCGGATGGATAGAGTAGATGAGCAAGCAATTACCACGGGAAATAGTCAAATCAGAAGAAAGGAAAAGATATGAAACATTCAGCCTTATCCATTCTCTGTAACTGATTAAATCAAGTAATATCATTGGTTAGATAAACGAGCTCAAGGCTTGAATATTACCTAAGCTTCCCCCACCTCCCGTTTTGGTAGCTAATTGATAGTCAGCTAGTTTGGCGTTTGGCGTTCCCCTCTTTGTCTGTTGTTGGGAGGGAAAGATCCATTATTGACCCTTTGATTGAAGTTTGAACCCTTTGGAGGGAAGTTACGGAGGAGGTGAAGAAAGAAACAAAGATAACTTATGTCCTTTCTGACCTTTCTTACCAGGTACGGAGTAGATGAGAAGAGTATATCCATGGATTAGTTTGATCTCATACAAAGGGTAGAGAAATTCATTCCCTCCTTAGTATTTAATAGTCCTGGAAGATTACAACAAGAACAAAAGTTGGAAAATATAAATTAATTCCATTCGTCCCATCATTGTTATCATCTTAAAACATCATATCAGTATTCATTCAATCATTCAATCATTCAATCATTCAATCATTCATTCATCCATCCATCCATCCATCCATTCATTCCTTCCTTCCTTGTTGGAAAGGTAATAAAACTCCCTCGTCCACTGCCACCCACTCCCATCCACTCCCATCCTCTCACATCCTCTCACATCCTCTCACATCCTCTCACCTCCCCACCTTGGACCCCAAATTTTCCGTGCTGTGCCTCTTCACGCAAGACCCATCATAAACTTGAGAAATCCAAAAGCCAACCTCACTTCCTTGTCGGCGGTTAGGGAGATCATATTATACGAAAGCAAGAAGCAAACAAACACTTTACCAATCCTCCTACTTATATTCATTCTCTGACTTATAATTGATTGTTACACATTCGTTTTCAAAAAGCAAAGAGTCTTATTTCTTCCGCCTCAACCAATTTGGTCATATCTCATCAATACCATCAAAAAGTTACGCGTCTACATATCCGAATTAGAAACCATGGCAGACCTCCAAGGAAGAAAGGTCTTCAAGGTCTTCAACCAAGACTTTATCGTCGATGAGAGATACACAGTCACCAAGGAGCTTGGTCAAGGAGCTTATGGTATTGTTTGGTACGATGTTACTTTCTTTCCGTCCCTACCTGTATATGCGCATGTCCGTATCATGAACCTTTCACTAACATTGTCCTCTATGCCAGTGCTGCTACGAATTCTCAAACACAAGAAGGGGTCGCAATTAAGAAAGTTACAAATGTCTTCAGCAAGAAGATTTTGGCAAAGCGTGCGCTGCGTGAGATAAAGTTGTTACAACATTTCAGAGGTCATCGTAACGTATGCGACTCCTATCCTCACAATGATAGTGGTGGGGTAGTTCTAACATGGCATAGATTACTTGCCTCTATGATATGGATATTCCTCGACCAGATAATTTCAATGAAACCTATCTCTATGAAGGTAAGATGGGGTTTTCTATTCTGCAACTCGTTGTTCCATGCTAACATCTTTTTCGCAGAGCTTATGGAGTGTGATCTCGCTGCTATCGTACGATCCGGTCAACCCCTCACTGATGCACATTTCCAATCTTTCATCTACCAAATCCTTTGTGGTCTAAAATATATTCATTCTGCGAATGTTCTTCATCGTGATTTGAAGCCCGGTAATTTGCTGGTCAATGCCGACTGCGAGTTGAAGATTTGTGATTTTGGTCTTGCTAGAGGTTTCTCTGTCGACCCCGAAGAGAATGCTGGATACATGACCGAATACGTTGCTACAAGATGGTATCGTGCCCCTGAAATTATGTTGAGCTTCCAGAGCTATACAAAAGCTAGTAAGTTATGCAACCATCGGTTGGAGAAGAAGATTAGGCGCTAACATAAATTAGTCGATGTATGGTCGGTAGGATGTATCCTCGCAGAATTGCTAGGTGGTCGCCCTTTCTTCAAAGGTAGAGATTATGTTGATCAACTCAACCAAATTTTACATATCCTTGGTACACCAAATGAAGAAACTCTCTCAAGAATTGGATCGCCACGAGCACAGGAATACGTTCGAAATCTCCCATTTATGGCGAAGCGACCCTTCCCAACTTTATTCCCCAACGCCAACCCCGATGCTCTTGACCTTCTTGATCATATGTTAGCATTCGACCCATCCTCCCGTATCGATGTCGAAACTGCCCTCGAACACCCATACCTTCACATTTGGCATGATGCCTCTGATGAGCCTGGATGTCCAACAACATTTAACTTCGATTTTGAGGTTGTGGAAGATGTAGGCGAGATTAGAAAGTTGATCTTGGAAGAAGTTCACAGATTTAGACAACATGTCCGTGTTCAACCTGGTCAACAAGGTCAAAGCAACGGTCCTCAAGTACCAATACCACAAGAGCAAGCAAGCTGGCGTGCTGAAGATCCAAGACCACAAGAAGCTTATGGACAAGGACCAAATGATCTTGAACAAGATTTACAAGGTGGTTTGGATGCTATGCGATCGTAGAAGATTTGGTTCTTATAAAGTGTGATTTTTGGGGGAGTGAGGGGTTCAGCTTCAAACTTGAATAAAGAAGAAAAGATTGATTGGGCTGGATTTTAAGCGTACGATGCAAGGTTCCCGAAAGCAAGCATGAAACATTTTCTTGGCGCAGCAGATTTTATCTCTTTCTCTGTCTCTAAAGACTTAACCTGACTACTGGAAAAATAAAAGGGTCTGGTCTAATAAATTACGGGGAATGTCCCATAGCTATAGCGGGTATTATCATTCTTTTTGTTGCACCGTGTCACTCTCTTAGCGATTTTCTTTCTGTTTTATGTCTCCTGTATCTGGTTATGCTGTGAGATCATAAAATGATTATAGTACGTAGGGTGGAAGAGAATGAATAGATTAAATTCGATGTTTGATGCATTTTCATTGTTACTTTCCTCACATTTAATTTACACTTTAAATAATCCTAGCAAGTCTAGTACATTGATTGTGTCGCTTTTTCGTAGAGCTTGGGCATTCCTACCAAGACTATGTGCCTGGTTTTCATTATATTGACGCATTGATCTTGAATATATGTTGGATTGGGAGTTCTAATTTCTTTTAGGTATACAGAGTGTGATATCTATCTATTATGATATGTTGTATGGTGGCCTATGTATGGATGGTGGTCTAAGGCGAAAGCTGGATCTTCCCCCATGTAAAACCTCGCACTCCATTGCTGATCCAACATTCTTCTCCTTCGGTTAGGGAGTCCAGGGTGATGGTGCTTCTTCACAGATCCTGTTTTGGGGGGTTAGTTTTTGATGGGGTTGTGATTATTTTGTAAGATGAGTGTGTTAGAGAGGAGAGAATAAAAGAAAAGAAAACGAACCCTTTTTCCAATGCCCATCGTCTCGTCGTTCCAATTTGACCCCCGCTGCTCTCAGATGGCGTAACCCATTTCCCACCGCGGTAGAAGAACGGCGTGGTGAGGGAACCTTCCATGATTTCTCCGGCTTTGGAAGATATGAGGAGGACTTCTTGGGGGGATGTGAAGGTTGGGATGTGGGCGCGTGAGCGCGCGGTGTCGTATTGGGACCGCGAGGTGGTTTTGAAGCTGGTGTAGGGGGTGGGGGTTGTGGGGGTGGGATCGGGGATGATGGTCCATGGGCGGGAGAATGTGGTGGGGTCGCTGGGGAGGGTGGTGTTGGGGCCTAGAGTGAGGGCGCCGCCTGTGAGAGGGGAGATGTAGGGAGTGGGGGGAGGGGAGATGGAGGAGGGTGGTGGGAGACGGGTGGGGAAGAGATTGGATAGTGGGACTGGGGGGACGGGGTTGCTTTCGATAGTTAGGGTTCCTTTGTGATCGAGGACGATGCGTACGCGAAGCGGGGTTGGGGATTGTATGTCGATGGAGGTGGAGAGGGCGGAGAGGAGGTTTTGAAATCCGGAAGTACCGGAGATGGCGAGGATGGCGGGGGGGAAGGAGAAGTGGGTTGCGGCTTGCAGGAGGCGGTCGCGGTGGTAGGGGAGCATGTAGAAGGGGGAGGGGGTGGGGGTGGGGAGAGGCCAGGATTCGATGTTTTGGGGGGATTGCAGGAGAAGGGGATCGTAGCGGAGCGAGGTGAAGAGTTGGAAGGTTGGGTTTGGGTTTGGGTCGGGGTCTGGGAAGGGAGACATGCTGGTTGGTTGGTGGAGGGTGGAAGAAGGATCTGAGGGGTTGTTTGTTAGATTCTTTCAATCTTATGTTTTAGAATTTGTGAATTCGAAATAGAAAATTGTGAAATAAGACGATTGTAATGTTGAGGACGGTAGTGATCTTGATCTTATATATGTGTGTGTCTCTGAGTCATAATCCGCTTCGCAAAGCGAAATTTCAAATTCGTAGAAGAAACTTCTTCATATGTTTATATATCTGCTATACATTCACTTGATATATAATCGTATCGTAAAATCTTCAATAGCTTTCCTATCAAAAAATAGATATCTTTCTTAGACTACCTAGCCGGGTAGCAGCTATGCTACAACTCGTAGAGCCGCATACAGTAATTCCAGACACAGGATGAAATCTTCTGCGCATTCGACTTCTTCTCATCTTGATTCGAAGCCTAAATCTCTCTAAATCTCTTAGTGACGTAAGGAAAATTGACATACTATGTAGATTTGATGTTTTTCTTTGGAAATGATTACCTGCGATTTTCTTAAAGAATGGGAATGGGAAATTGCGGTTTGAGGGATTGGTGGATATGGATATGATATTGATGGAAGTCACGTGCTGGGTGATATCGGTGGGAGTTCTTCGGTTGTGGTTTTCTTGAAGTGTGAGGTTAACCTTACTAGTTTGATGATTTATTAGGTAGGGTAGGCTATGGATGAAATAGACCTCGCAGCATAAAATTGTTGTTCTGGATTGAGATTTTGATTAGTATGATGACTAGTGTCTTGGGATCAATATTGATTATTTGGATGGCTTTTATTTTTCTTTAATGGCAATGGCAACGGCAATGTCGATGGGTGGGTAACGTTGGAAAACAAGTGTTTTCACATATCATGCAAATTTTTATGTAGAATCCATCTTGAGAAGTATCTCTAATGAGATGATAGGAGGCTCAGGAGTCAAAAATAGACGACATGATGAATAGCTATAGGAAAATGATGCACCTCATTGCTGACAGGTCAGACGATGTTTGGGAGGTTTTCAGTGACGTAATAGGTCTTTTTCTTCAGGTGTTGGAACGTGCTCTGTCGTATTGCGTTGGCAATATAGTACTTTTATAGTGAGTACTATATGGTATCTCTTATATTGCTTCTAGAAGAGATCTTTGCTACAGCTCCGCATTCCTGAATCCTTGGAATGTGTTCGCCGTTAGTCAGCGATTTTATGCATCCGTCGAGATTGTAATCGACGGTTGCAGCTCATTTGTACTAAATCCATTACATAGCATGATGATAGCAGAATGTTTTCCAAACCGGATATAGACTGCTGTTACCAAATACCTCCCAGCTTGCCTTATGGATCGTGGCTCCTGTAAATCTTCGCACACCTCTCCCAATTTCGACCCCAGTCATTTGGTCTGTACTCCAAATTGCCAAATAAAGTGAGATACCTAGAGTTACTTTGTATATTTTAATCAGCTAGAACATTTAGACTGCGCTCTGGAGAACATAACCTGCTAAGTATTGGCTAGCTCCGGGTGCAAAGCAAAAGCAATGGGTAAGTAATATCACATTCTCCTGTGTATTTTAGGTAGGAGCTGATCTTTATGTTCAGATTCTTCTTCTACCGATTCGCCTTCTGTTATAACCGATAATTCTCTCGCAACCTTGAAGTTGAGATTCAAATCATCGAAGCAATTCTGGAGACTCTTTCGGAGAGGCTTTATTCGATGGCTTATTACATTTGTCCTGATATCTCTTCTTTATGTAACAATTCGAGTCGTTTCAAAGGATCAAGATATGACTGAATGAGAGAAACAATTTTTCAACGCCGTCTCGCTCTATCTGGTTTTAATGATTGGAATGAGTCTTACTTTTGGATTCGAGGCCATGGCGATTGATCTCAGATGGTGGATTTTAAGTAGAAAAGAAAGAAGTCTAAGAGACGTGAGTTTCATGACAGCACTCATTCAATTTCCCCTGTTGAATAAACCACAAGATCGATACAATTCTACACGCTGACAGCCTTACCACTGTCTCTAGCCTCCTTGGACGCAAAGTTTGGTACAAGATTAGACATTTCACTTGGGATTGGGATTTGGGCACTATGATCATGTCGTGTTTACTTTGGATTCTTCTTAATATCGTAAGTTCATCGTGCCAACTATGCTTGATACACAGACTAATAGGAATAGGGTGCTCAAGTGGCCATAGCATCTGTTGGGCTTACATATTCAGTTGATACTGCTGAGAAAATGGCTCACATGTCTCGTGGGAATGTTTCTTATCCTAATATGACACAATTCTTTCCCGTAAAGCTTCCAAATGGTAGAGCTTCAGTAAACAATTTGGGCGCACAACAATATACAGCGAATAGGTGAGTTATTTCATGAGGTTGTATTCATAAGCAATGTTAATTATTAGTTTTGGTATGATGGCTTTAAATTTGTGGTCTACTACGCAACCAATTCCCGAGCCAGCAACAATCTATAAATCTGGGTTGACAGCTGATTTGTTCGGGATTGATAAACGAAGTTGGGTCTTTGTGTTCATGGATACTTCTTCTGATGGCTTAACTTCTGCGTATTCGGATCGTACCATCGAGTCTACATCGAGCTGTGAGAGTTATCCCGTGTTGGAAGGAGGAAATGGCAATTTTACAAATTTGAACATCAGTAAGAATGGAAAGTCAGAGGCTTTCAAGGTTAAATTACCAATCGCTGCTGGACCAGATCAGACAACATTCTTCACAGAACCATTTACAACATGCGGCGAAGGTTGCAGCATTGTTGAAGCACTCGAGGCTTCCGCGAACGAACCTTGGTATTATAAATGTAATATTACAGTTGGTCCTGTTATCAACGCCCAAAACGCAAATCAAGAAGTGTCTCTACCACTCCGTCATATGTCATCAGCTGCAATAGCTCTACAAGGCTATGCGGCTAACCCCGAACTAAATGATACTCAGTATCGAATATACGTTTCTGAGTCTACTTACGGCTATCCGCGAAATGGATCTGCAGAGGATTTTGGATATCAAATATCGTATTTTGCTATTGGTGCCATAGCTGCTGCAGCGAATTCCAACAATCCCTCAATATATGCGATTGGAGATCGGCCGGTTATAGGAACTCAGCTCAAAATTACTCAACACGCACTTCTCTTGGGACTTTTGATTGGTCTCGTTTCTGTGCAAGCGGTCTGTTTTATCACAACGGCGTTTGTGGCAAATAGAGTGGTGGTTAAAGATGAGAGTATTTTTTCTACAGCGAGTATACTGCGGCCGGCGATGAATTTTTTGGGAGATCATGGGAATGTTGCGGAGGGCGAACAGATATGTGATTTTCTTAGTCATTTGAGGTTAAGATATACGGCTATTCGAG